CATCTTTCTGCGGTGTATGCCAGTTCACAGCCATCCACAGCCTTTAACATTTGAAGGAATTTTGTGTGGCCTGTTTGAATCCATCTGAAACTGAAGATGGAAACAAATTCACATTTTCCTTTTTTTTTTTTTTTGCTCAAAATCCACATCACATTTGGACAGAAACACAGCTACTGATGAAATCTTGGTAGATTGTAGCAAATTTTTCTAGATCCACAGATTAGAGATCCTTTGTCATCCATGAGGATGGGAAAAGCATCATTTTCCCTACTCTAACATCTGCCTAAATGTACAGCACATACAGAGATTTAAAGAAGAACTGCAAGAGCAAATGAGGTGGATTAGCAGTCATCCAGGATGGTGTCATCCAGGACAAGTTGCTGTGGAATATCGTCCCAGACCGTCATATAGCAACAATCTTCAGTCAGAGGCCTCATTAAATTCGTTGGAGGTCTAACTGCTACTGGAGGTTCATTCTTCTCAGGGCGACTGTTTGAAAACACTTGGATGATAAGAGTTCATTTCACTTAATAAATAAAATGATTTGAACTGTATTTAAACTATTGAAAAATCCAAACCAGTCCAGATGTTTTTAAGGTTTTTTCTTGAACTCCCTGCAGTCAGTTGCTGAAGTTGGAGGTTGGCACCACGCCTCTGCACATCTGCCTGCCCCCAGCCTCCCCAGACACACACCTTCTGACGGCCTGCGAGGACGGCCTGCTCTGCTACAACACACAGCTGGGAGCCAACAGCACCACGAAGAGGTGAAGGAACTTTAGAGGTTCTCGGATTAATCAGGAAACACTTTGGAAAGCTCCATGACCACCAGCCAGCACTGATTATTGTTGTTTTTTTCTTTTTAGGGCAAACAAAATGGAAATAACTTTCCCCGTTTATAAGATGGAGGACAAACAACACAACTACCACACTATCGACGGGTTGAGTTTTCTCACTGATGATGTAGTGGGTAAGTTAGATTTCTTCATTATCAGATGTAGTTCTGATTAAAGACCACATGATGGTGCTGTAAGGTGTAAGTAATTAATTCTTACACAACTACAAATGGTTTAATTGTGTTTATTGTTCAATTTTATCCTGATGGTTTGAGGTTCTGAGTTTAAAACACAAACTTCTCTTGTTTCTTTTTGCTGCCTGTGGGGGGCGCTACACCAGCCTCTAAGAGCCACACCCACTCATCCATTTACCTGTGGAGCTGGAGCGGCACCAGGAGTCAGCGGCCAGACAAGAGGACCGGGTCGGTGTGCGCCGTGGTTTTGGCTGAGCTGCAGTGGGCCGTCACCGATGTTCCCTACCTGTCTCTGAACACCTGCCCAGGTGAGTTCTGCTGGATCTGGTCGGATGTCCGGTCTAGACGCTCCCGGGTTTCTATCGACTGGAAAACTCCAGAATCTGATTAGAGTTTAGATTTGGAGAATAAAACAAAGGCTGAAGATAATGGTTCTATTGGCCTCAGGCTTTTTCTTAAAGATTATAGCCATCCATACATTTGTTTTTGTCCAAAAATTGAATTTTAACATAATAACTATGTTAAAGTGTACTGCTGAATAAAGCGGTACTGCTCTCTCTTTGCCATCTAGTGTCTTGATCAGTTTGTTTTCTATCCAGTTGGATTGTTTTTAATGTGTAACTGTAAATTATTTAATCCTCTTCAGAAACTACATCTCAGGTGTTTCCAGCCTTTCAGGTCCAATGTCACATAATGCAATCATTAGCAGGATACTATAGAATCTGTAGAACTTTCTGTCATGTACAATTAGAGAACATCAGCCCTCGAGGAGTTTGACATTCCTGATTTATTCGGTTGGCTGGATGTTTGGGGCTGGCTGCTGAATGTTTCCAGCTGTTTGTTTGTAGCAGAAGCACTAACTTCCTGCATGTGTCGTCTTCAGGACAGTCCTACGTAGTTTGCGGGGACGACAAGGGACGAATATGGACTTATCACATCACCAACCTCCAGAAGAACAGCGGTCAGATAGGGAAAACCATTCCACCCACTGAGGTATTTCATTTCTGCTCCATTTTGTCTGTCTTTCTCTCTCTGTCTACCTTGATAGACTACAGTAGAAGAGTCAGGAAGATAAACATTGCTTAGGGTTGAACAGTTGGTGCTTAAAGTAACGATATGCCATGCAAGCTAGTGGCAGAAATCTGAGAAGATGGTGGCTGGGCTGAACTGGAGCCAGATGGTGGAAGGGTGTAAACAAACCATCTGCATGCATCTGTTGACTGCATAATGTTATGTGCAAAAACAGATGCTTATTCACATTTTGGGTTGCTCAGACTACAACCTATCACCTGAAAAATCTGATTAATAACTGTTCAGTAGGTCCGTTTTTGTTATCAAAAATGGATCCACTGAACAGTTTTTCCAGTTATTTTACAGTATATGCAGTCAATGTTTGGTCTGGGCTCCTGTTGCAAGAATCGCTGAAACAATGTGGCTTAGCATGGAGGAGGTCAGTCTGTGGTTTTACTGGGATGTTCATGAAATACAAATTTCACTGTCATCTGAAAACAGGACTTTGGACCACTGAGCAAAAGTCCAGTTCTTTTTCTCCTGATCTGAAATGAGAATTAACAGGTTTAACCAGTGTTTATCTTTGGCCGCACTCCAAACATTGTGAATCTGCCCCTGACCTCTTAAGCGAGCTTTACTGCAGCTTTCCCTTTTGCACTGTTTTCTACTAAACTTTTTCCTTCCACTCAGTTTTACACCGAGAGGGGTTGGCACCGCTAACTAAAAAGTTAGTTGTGCTAACCCTAAAGCCCCAATCATAAATTTTAATTCTGCTAATGCTAATGTTGTGTAAGCATAAGCTAATGCTGAAGCTTCAGTCATGTTGACACCCTCAATGAGTCAAATTTGTTACTTCACACCTTCATACGGTTTGTGCTTCAGGAAGTGATTTTTTTTGGAAAAGACAAAATTTTGTTCATGTTGTCAGTTTTATGGCTGTTGAGTATTGCTAACTCTGTCAAAATGACCATGAATATAAACGTCTGACTACTTAAAGTAGACATGAATTTTCATGAGCTGTATTTAAAAGTAAAAGAAATAAACACATCACTCTTTGTGGCACTGGTCTGTTTATATTAAGCTTCATTTTCTTAATGAGTAAAAAAAATGAAGCTTTGATGGTATTCTAAATTAAGATGCACATGTTGGTATTAATGGACTCAGTCATTGAATTTCAAACATATCTAAGAAAATGCAAATATTTGAAATCAGACAATTTTAACATTTTAATTTATTTCAAAAGAACAAATAATGTGAGGAATAAATCTCATTTTAAGATATTCCATTTGCTCCAATGCATTTTCTTGTTTCTCCAGGTTCTAGAATGGCCGACCCTAGAGAGGAAAGGCCTGAGCCAGATTGAGGGCCCCTCTATCAACAGTGTGGCAATGGACCCAGAACTTCAGTACCTGGTGGCGCTCACTGATAAGAACTTGGCGGTCATATGGAAGAGGAACATAAAATGTACTTAATTAACAACAACTTTCAAGCAGGTTTTTTTTCTGCCTGGACAGAGGTGGAAGTACCAGATATTGGAATTTTCTTCCAAAAATTTTTTCAGTGATCTGTTGGAACATCAACATTTTATCCAGACTGCTTTTTAATAGCACTTTTATCGTTTTTACTTGCTATTATAGAATGCATAGTTTGGTCAAAATAAAAGACACAAATTTGAGAATTACTTGGATTTTTGCAAAAATTTTTTCTGATGACTTTGCAATTCTAAAGCCATTCTTCACTTCCCTCTGAAACATTTCAGGGTTATATTTAACTTTACCTTTTGAAAAACTGGTTTGTTCACCTGTACAGCAATCTGTTTTGAACCTGGGATTTTATCTAAAGTGAAATTATTTTTAGATTTTGAAAAATGGGATATAATCAAGAAAATTATGAACAACACAAACCGTCCTGAATTTGAATTGAATCAATCAATCAAATTTTATTTGTATAGCACATTTCAGCAGCAAGTGCTTTACATCATAAACACAAAACACAAAGTCATGCAACATAGAATAAACAATACATTGTTCCATCATTAAATTTTTAATTGATTACCTTTCAAATACTATTCTAAACAGGTCCGTTTCTAGTCGAGATTTAAAGGAAGTCAGTGTTTCAGCTGTTTTACAGTTTTCTGGAAGTTTGTTCCAAATTTTTGGTGCATGGATGCTGAAAGCTCCTTCTCCTCTTTTGGTTCTGGGGATTCATAGCAGACCAGAACCAGAAGACCTGAGAGGTCTGGAAGGTTGATACAACAACAGCAGATCTTTAATGTTTTGTGGTGCTAAACCGTTCAGTGATTTGTAAACTAACCACAGTATTTTATAGTCTATTCTTTGAGCAATAGGGAACCAGTGTAGGGATTGAATGCTTCTACTACATCTAAACTGGATTATTGTTCCTCTATATGTAGGTGTTAATCAGTTTGTCACATTTTGTGTTTTCTTTCTGGAGATTTAGACGGTTTACCATTTTTTTTTGAAACACTTATTTAGAGATTTGACCAGCCTGAGTTAAAGATCAAGTATTCTTGTTTCTACCCCTGCTTCTTTCTTTATTTCTTCAATAAGAAAATAATCCATAGCAAATAAACTGCAGGGAACAATGCAATCCATAATTAAATTACTGCAAAGAACAATGTAATTATGTTGCAGAGAAATGAATTGTAAAACTATTTCAGTATTTTTCTGTTTTTTAATCAGGCACGTTAGTAAGCCCTGTATGTAAGCATTTTTAGATTTAGATTTGATATTGTTTATTTTTATGTGGCATAATTTTATTAGCATAAACATGTTTTTACTACTATTGTTTGTCCATATTACGTTCCGTGCAGAGTACAGTATGTGCCGTTGTGAGTGGGGCGTTGATTACGCTTAGCTCCGCCTCTGAATCACTCGCTGATTGGCTGCGCTGTCTCGTCGTTAACGTACATCTTAGACCTACTGACCAATAAGCACAGAGGCCTTTCTGTACCCTGTCTCTACTGTATTGAGATCAGATTCGTGCCTTTGTGCGCAACGACACAACCCTAATGGCTTCATAGCAGTTGCAGAATTCCGATGTTCTGCACCAGGAACGGGCCAGCCCAGTTCGCGCTAACAGCTCGTCTCCAAATGCGGCCGGGACTGGCAAGCATAGCGGCGGAGATGCTGAGCGGTGTCACCGGCAGGGCCGGGCCGAGGATCGGCAGCCTCTTACTGACTCCCGCAAGCAAAACATTACCGGCGTTGCAGTCTGGCACCGGGAATCACAGATTCCGGTCCACATCATCAGCGCAGGGTGTCTCAGAACTGGCAAGAGAGCGGTCTAAGACTGTCACTTCCTTTTATAACCAGTCCGCCATCGATGTTTCTGCAGAGAAGGTGAGGAGTGGATTTTTTTTGCTCTCTGTGTTAGCGCGAGCCGGCTGGAGCTGGCTTGAGCTTGGCGAGCAGAGCTAGCTGTTATAACACGGACGGTGCTAGATTCAGTGAATGCAGAAAACAGTCATTCTTAGTTCGGACTGCTATCTTAACTGTCAGTTAAGGTTGAAAGTAAAAACTACATTTATTGTACTGTGTTATACAATAAAAGAAGTTGCTTACATAAGTAGCTTAGCGGTTGAACCTCGTTTTCTTAAAGCCAAATAGGAAAAATGTGATTTAGACAATGAAATAAGCATATGGCTCAATTTTATTTTAAAAAAGTAGATTCGACAATGTTTCCAAATCACAGTGCTATAATTGGAATACATATTACTTATATAAATTAAATATATATATAAAAAAACATCTTAATTTAAGAATCAGAACCATTATGTTACGGTCTGATTTCCTCGGTTGTCTGCGCGCCCTTGAACGCAGCATCGAGAGGACAAAATGTTTAGCTAGCTAAACGATCTTCTACTAATTAATAGTATCAGAGGTTGACGAATAAAGGTGGAGAGCCTGAATCTTTTACTCCAGCAAAGCTCACAAGAGTGGAACAAGTATGTGTTATGAGCTGAGGAAGGGTTAAGGTTTCAAATTCGGAGATTGAACAACCCAGTTATTTCTAGAAAGTCGCTATATTGAGTCCCTTTGTTGCTTCTTGTAGCTAATCTGACCTTTTGATCCTATTTTGAACTTTCATTTTGATTAAAATAAAAATATAAATTAGTAGTCCGACTAATTTGAGGTTTAACTAATTGCACTAAGAGATGCACTAATCTTTTTCTTTTTTCTTTTCTTTTTTTTTACATAAGACTCAGTTTTTTCTCACAGTTGTCAACACTCTTTCCTTCCTCTTTGTTCTTTGCAAACTCAGATGTTTTAGTTCCTCACACTCAATCATTTTCAGTCAGGTGTTTACCAATTATCTTGTTGTAAACTTTTCTTTTTCTTAGTGCAGAAACAAAACCCAAGGTGTACTTTAAATTATTTCCAAAATACCTGTGAAAGTTTAAAGATCTTCAGTTTGTAAACAGTGAATATTTCGCTGTGAAGTTGAACAAACTTTAACTTCATCCTTTAATTTGACAGTGGTGACCAGCTTAGCTCTGGTCACCAGACAAAAGGGAAAGTTTGAAATTGCTGTGTGCATTGCTGTGGTCAGACCAGGAGAAACTAGGTCAGATTGTTCCCCCTGATTGTCCTCCACTTGTGCTTACAAGTTTTGCATCTGCGTACACCTTGCCAAGAATTTATTTTCCTCAGGTTCAATTAAGGTAAACAGACACAGCATGACCGTTTGTCTGCCAGGTGTGCCTGCTAGGGCACATTTGTTGTTATGAAAGTGCAATCCGATCTTTGGGGGAAGCAGATTGCCTGCAGATGTAGTATGACTTGTCTTTTTTTTTTTTTTTTGTTACTCTCGAGGTCAGTGTTTCCTAACCCTGGTCCTCAAGGCACACTGCCGTTCATGTTTTAGGCGTTTCTTTGCTTCAGCCCAGGTGACCTCAATTGACAGGTTTTTTGTGAACTGCAGTCAGCTGAATCTGACATATTAAAGCAGGGAAACATCTAGAACATGCTGGATAGTGTGCATTGAAGACCAGGGTTGGGAAACACTCCTCTAGACAAAATCTTTTTTGCTACGAATTTGCAGCGTTATGTCCTTTCAGATTTTTACCGTTTTGGGTTTTGTGTTGCAACAGAATATTTCAGATCAAACTAACTTTGATGCCTGACCGAATTAACCAGAGTAAATAAAAGATATAGTTTAGTTTATTACCAACCCTGCTGCTGTGAAGCACCTTAAAGAAACAACTGCTATAAAGTCTTTGTGATAACTGGAGTTTAACTGAGTTTCTTACATTAATGTGGAAGAGCTGTGTTTCCATCAATGTCTTTTCACTAGAAAAGGTTGATAGAAATGGCAAAATTCAAAGATAATTTTGCAAAAACGTTTTTACGCCTGCTTGAGGGGGTTTGGGCTTTTTCGAAAAATTGTTACTATGCTAAAGGAGAGATGGAAACACATTTGCTGAATAGGCTTTGAAAAAGCAAATTTTCTGAAGACTGGGAGTTGACGGGAGTCACAAAACCTTGAGAAAAATCTAATTCCCGACCTCCAGTTTATGTATGATTTATGGATTGCAGGCAATAACATTTTTAGTTTATTTTCTCCTAAATTATAGACAGCCGTAATGAATCTGTTAGAGTGTAATCACAGGAACCTGTAATGTTTGTTTTTGACGTGTCATGGTGTTCGTCACACAGGTTGTTTTGTCCTAAAAATCTTACTGAGATGTGTCCCACATTTATATTTTTAAAATTATCAAATTGTGTAAATCAAAATAACTTAGAATGAGTTGCTTTGATTGGATGCTTAAGCCAATGAACGAGTTTGTAAGACTGCTTATAATATTATCCAGTAACTGTTCCATATAGATTCAAGCAAAATACACTCTTACTTTAGTTTTGCTTCTCATGTTTAATTAAAATAAAGAAACATGTTTTTTTAATTAAAAATGTATTTTAATTTACTTCCTTTGCAATTTGTCTGCAGGCCTCAGTCCGGTTGACCTTAGCGACCCTGCTGTATTCTGGGAAGTCTCCTGATGGACACCACATCTTGGTAAACACTTCACCCACACTAAGAGTAAATCACCTAACCGCAGTGCCTTCATGCTCTGCAGCTTTTCACTGTGTGTGTGTGTGTGATCCCAGAGCAGTGGCAAGTACCTTCACAAGGAGCTGCCTGTGCGGATCGCCCATCGCATCAAGGGCTTCCGCAGTCTGCCCTTCATCATCGGCTGCAACCCAACCATTCTCCAAGTGGTAAGGACACAATCCTGTAGAAACTTCTTGATAAAGTCACTATTTTATTTTTTAGAGCTAAACATAAAGGAAGCCACTACAGCTGACCTTATAATAAGAACCGGGAGTGTCTTCATGAGTCAGTGCTGAACTTTGACAGACTGGAGAGGTGTGGAATAACTGGTGGGAATTTTAATGAATTATTTGGGTGAAAAGACTGAAAGGGACATGAAACTGTCAGTCATTTTAAATTCATGACACAAACACAAGCTGTGTTTACTTAATAGAAACTCCACAATTTTACAAAACACTCTCCTTTTTTTATGGAAAGTTTTTGCATTAGGATGATGTGGGATTTTTTCAGTAGTATCGAAATTAATGTATTTCGCAAAGCTGCAATGAAAAAACTTTTTTCACATCACACAAATTATATGATCAACAACTAGATGTTACTACTGACAGAAACCACAAAGAAGAAGGCAGGAAGTGGTAGGATGACAATGGTGTGGCATGTTTTTTAGCGACTTATCATGTGACAAAACTTCTTCACGTGTGATTTTAATTGCATTTCTTTTTTAATGGAAACAGGACAATTGAAAAATTATGTCTTTTCAATTTTAGTGGAATATCAACAAAGTTTTGGGCACATAATGAAAATGCATCTATATTCAGAGACAGACAAGATTTAGTAAATCTAATGTCTGAGAGTTAACTTTAAAAACAAATAGAACTAAATAAAGGCTCACAAGAAAGATCAAAGAGTGTTAGAAAAATACAGAGTACTAATAAAAATAAAAATACATCGTACTAATACAAGATTATAACATAAAAATAGTTTCGTTTCATTCTTTTTATATCAAAGAGGCAATATTTCTGAGTTCAAATGGGATTCAGTAATATCATACTTTTAATTGTTCATGTTGGAAAATCAAAACAATCCAGATTTGTATTTAAATTTTAGATGTTGTTTTCATCCAAATAGAGATTTAGTGCTGCGGAATCCAAGGTTTCTGCTGAGTCTCATTTCTTGAATCCAGCCCCTACAAATATTTATTACTATTACATGGTTGTTCATAATCCCAATGTCGAAACATGACCCCGTTTCCACGACGCTATTCATCGCTAGAGCCAAAACAAATGATTAAATCAGAGGCATAACCTGCGTGCTCCAGGGTGTAACGTTTCACTAACTGCTGATCGGAGCTGAAAACGAAGAAACATCCACCACCGCTACAGGTTCACCCGGCCTGGGAATGAAGGGCCTTCCCACTGAACACAAAAGCTCTGTGCTAATCAGGGTTTTCCACTTATTCTGTGCTGAAATTGCTGATCCCACGAGAGTGGAGGAGCTTCTGTCTTCACCTTTCTGCAGGATTTACCTGCTAACTGTGGCAGTCTACTGCCCTTTCTTTCCTTTTCAAGTCCTTTTAAGCGCATAAATGTTTGGTAAAGTGAAAAATCAAAACAGAAAGATAAAAGATGTGTGATTAGATTTAGCTTTAGTTCCTGCTGTTCTGCAACAATCCTCAAACTTTCCTGTTTGTTTCAGAACAAGCAGGAGACTCTGTTCTCCTCGAACGCTTCTGTTGAGGAGTTTGAGGACATTTTACTGTCTTTTTTCAGCACATCGATGTGCTGATGTGTTTACCTGTCGACAGAGCTGAGTTGATTGGTGAATGAAAACAAAACTAGAAGATGAAAACTTGCAGAAAAAACTTGAGACTGAAAGGTTCACCTTCCAAATAAATCAGACACTAATAACTTATTACATCTTTCTTTAGAATGATTTTTTTTTTTGGCAAATAAAGCCTGAAAATAAAAAAACCTAAACACAACAATTTGTATACTAGGTTTCCACATAAATCTTAATTTCAAAATGCTTCAAACGAAACATTAATCCACATCTTGTTTGTTTTGCAGAGCCCAGAAAAAAAAATCTGCAATGTTCTATAAATTAATTTAATTTAATTTTTTACAAAAATTTGACTATTTTTTATATTTGGTTAGTTTATTATTGAGCAAATAAAAATGAAAAAGTCACAATTTATTTGGTCTGAATGTTTTATTGAGAAATAAATATTTTTGTGGTCCCCAAAAGCTTTCAACTTGATGATTTGCACCGCAGTGGCAAAAAGTTTGGACACCAATAGCCTAGTCAAAGCTTTGACATATATCTAGATGAGAATCTGTGGAAAGACTTTATAACTGATGTTAAAATATTCTCCACTCTGATGTTTGTCTGAGGTTTTAGCTGGTTGATTAATTTTTGAAAACTGAATTTCTTTCCTTCCGCTTCACAATTATGTTCCAGTTTTTTGCTGATCCAACCTCATAAAAACCCAGTGAAACACACTGAGATTTGTGGAAATAATGTGACAGAACACAGGAACATTTTAGGGGAAGGAATACTTTAAGACAAGGCACATCTCTAAAGGAGGTAATGATGCATCCGTTGTTGGTTTTTTTTTTTTTTTTGGTTGTAAAGTTGGGTGCCAGAACGTCTAGCGGGAACACATTGTTCTTGGAGGTTGAGATTAAACAGGCAGCATTCCTCTGCACAGGCTGCACTGCCGCTCTAATCACCCAGAGTAAATGCTTCTGTGGAACAGAAAGAGCTTTTTGTGACATAAAAGCAGAGTCGGCGTCTCTTCCAGCCAGTTTTCTCCCTCTAAGCTCTTCTCAACTCGGTGATGAACCTTCACCCAGATTCCTCCTTTGGTTGCGTAAAGCCCGGCTCTTTTCTTCATGCAATCAGAAGAAATGGAGGTCAGCTCAAGTATCTGTTAGCAGCTGAATTATAACTGTTACAAAATGTTATTTACACAGAACGAAAACAAAGAAGGATCTTCTGTAATGCGACCCATGCGAGAGTCTGTTGGCGTCGCTCTGCGGCTGATTCTGGTCATGTGACTGAGATCCGTCTCTTTTGCTCTTTCTTGCAGCACGAGCTGTACATCAGAGCCTACCACATGCTCAGCGACTTTCCACAGGTGAGTGTCACGCAAACAGGAAATACTGCAACGGCACACGGTTTGGGTTCATGAGTTCAAGTTCAGCATTTCTCAAGAGAAGAGGGGAGGGGATGGCATGTCATCTACTGTTAAAAACATGGATTCACCTGAAAACAGCTGCGTCATGGTTGGTTCATCTGCTCTGAACCAGAAAACAGCAGTTTTAGCTTTAAGAACAGAGAACATTTAGGTAAATTTCTCTTGCTCAAAATTTCATCAAATTAATAAAAAGAAAAAAAAATAATAGTGTAGATCACGGATGTTCAAAGTTCAGCCTGTGGTGCTGTGACCCCCGAAACAGACAGACCACTATTCAGTAGTTGAGCAAATATGGCCTGTAAGAAGGTAATTGTTGCAGATTGACTTTTTATTATCTTTGATCCATTTTTGCAGATAAAATTGTGTTTACATGAAGAATAATCTAGGCACAAGGCAACTTATCATTTATTAGCAAGTTTAAAGCAATCATCTTCATTTTGCAGTAAATTGAACCACAAACACTGAGCAACTGTTCCTCAGATTTGGGTGAAGAAATCAGTCAGATTTACAAAAGTTTAGTTTGTTGTTGAGGAGATAAAAGTAAAAAAAACTAAAAAAACACAAGACCTTTATTTTGGTGAATATATATTTTTTCTTTCTGTTTGTGGCCCGCAAATGCTTTCAGGGTAATAACTTCTTGCCTCCATGGCAGAAAGTCTGTACACCCCTGTTACAGGTTATTTGGTTTGTCCCGTTATGGACCAATGAAGCTCATCTGCTTCCCACAGCTCAGGTGGTGCATGACAATCTTTCTACATTTACAATGATTTATGCCACATTTTCTACCGTTTGACTATTTAATTAAAATATTGGATGCTTAGTTTACTGTTGAGCAAGTTCAAACACATTGTTTTTATTATTATTATTATCATTTTAGTTTTTAACAGCAAACAAAAAGTACTTTTAACCTGAAATTTTTGGCCTTGATGATAAAAACTTTGGACACTGCTGTCCTGGGCGAGAAGCTCTGTTTCATTTTTACTTCTGTCTGCAGGTTAATAAGAATTTTGTAGATAAAGTGACAATCAAAAGTATTCATCTCTTTGAATGTTTCATCTTTTTTATTTGTCTTACAAATCAGTCATGATCGACACATTTTTTTTTGTGTCATTTTGTTGCTCATGGTTGATTTGTACAAGCAGTAAAAAGGGTAAAACATCCAAGGAGGTGAAAAGTATTTATAGACACTGTTGTTTACTTTGAAAGGCAAAAAGTTCAGCTCTGCATCACATCCTGCCTGGAAAAAATGATTATAGGAACAAATGGGACTATTTTAAACACACTTCTACAGAGGGATTTATTGGTTTCGTCTTTACAACCACTTCAAATTTCATCATGTAAATCAAAATTCTATGACTGAAGGAAATCATTTTCGGATTCAGTGTGAAGTTTGTGTCTGTGGCCAGATCAAGGACCAGGAGGTCGAGGCTCGTTTCTGTAAACTGGTGCAGCAGCTGCTGGACGACCACAAAGACGTGGTGACCATGCTGGCCCAGGGCTTCCGGGAGTGTCGACGACACATCCAGGCAAGAGCTGCACTCTGATCGTTACTACTATTTACTGGACTAATTATGGTTGAGGATTTAAAGGCAGGAAAGAGCAGGAGCCTCGGCAGTTACCGTTTCTGTTTTCTCCGTCTTCCAGGATGAGACCATCATCAGGAACTTCTTGGATACAACGCTGTGTTCCCGACTGGGAATCCGAATGTTAGCCACACACCATCTGGCTCTTCATGAAGAAAATGTATGTCTGACTGCTACATGAATTAGTATTTATATAGACAGTTTTCAGACTTTGTATGTATAATAAAATAAAGTGCGAGTATTGAACTAACAGAAATATTGAAAAATTTTAGGCTGCAGAGCGTATGAGGGAGTCGTTTTGCTCTCAGAACCTAAAGTCAGTTAAAAAAAACATCAGCAGAATAAAAGTTCTCCTTTATTTCCAGTCGGCTAAGTCCCTGCTGCTGTGTTTTCTGTCAAAAGTCATCAAGACAGTTTCAGCTCATCCTGTTTCTCCGCTCTAGAATTAACTCCCTGGAAATATGAGCCAATCGGGAACATTTAAATCTGGACTGAAAGCAATTTTTTCTTTCACGCCTTTTAATAGCTGTACTTTCGTTTCATTTTATTATTTTTGTTTCCTTCGAGCACTTTGGGTTGTGATGATTGGTGCGCTCCAAAAAACATTCTTTTTCTGATTTTTATAGTTGACTCTGGTTTGATAATGAATTAAAACCGATCGCTTAAAGAAGCTGATGGTATATCAGGTGTTTTTCTCTGACAGGAATTGCTTTGTTTTCCAGGCCGATTTTGTGGGGATCATTTGCAGACGCCTTTCTCCTAAAAAGATCATCGAGAAGTGGGTGGACTTTTCCAGGTGAGTTTGTTTGCTCTGTGCTGTCGGATGACTTCCTATTGCTTTCAGCTCTTTTATTGGTAAAGGAAGGTCAGAGGTCAGGTGATAAACACGGGTGAACGAGATATGAGCCGTCGATCTGTTTACCTTGAGTCTTCCTGTCAAACGGTGCTTCTGGAATAATATCAGAAGCTTCCTGCCTCTCATCGAAGCCATTCGGAGGATTTTCCTTTCCAATTGAGGCACAGATCAGTTATTTAGTTGTTTTAAAACGTCTCAGTGATGATTTCACTGTATTTCTGGTTGAGATGTTTGCTCCACAGGCAGGACGATTTCGTGAGTGTGAATGTTTTGAAAATTAGCCTGATGTTAATCAAGTTTAAAAATGTTACTTTTCTTCTGAAAGTAACTTTTCAAGAAGAGATTTCTACAATAGTCTGTCCACAAACGACGACAGTGACCATTTGATAAATATTTGAAATGTTTTGTACTTTTAAGTTATTATGTCATGAAGGACTAATAGACGTAGCTCCATTGTTTACACAAAGTCAGTTAGACTTTGTAAAGTTGTTGTTGTTTGTTTTAACACCAATCTGCCAGCAGGACTAGAGATGGAAATCAGCCACTTGGCTTTAATATCATGTATTTATTAAACCGTATTGAAAAATAAGCATAGCTGAACATAAATACTAATTGAAGCATTTTTTCCTATCAAATCATTTTGATTTCAGTTAAAATCACTGATTTACAGTGACAAAGATTTGAAATTTGCATGAGCTGCTTTTCACTACTTATTGCGTTAGATTAGACTTGGAATTTAAAGTAACTAACGTGTAGTTTTGGCCATTTTGAGCCATTAAAGTCAAAAACACAAAACGCAGAACAAAAAACAACCAAAAATGAATATAAAAATAGATAATAAACAATATCTGAATTTCTGTCAAGGCTAGAAGTCGATTTATGATGGAAAAACGTAAAGTAAGCCTAATAATAAAAAAGCCTTTACTCTTTTATTATTGTGACATTATCAAAGTCACAACAATAGACATAGAAAATAAAAACAAATTTAAATGTTAAAATAAAACAAGAAAAGACAAATGAAAATGCAGTGTTATAATCCTGCAGGACAGATGGAGTAATGGTCATTGTGGTTCATTCTCTGTGGCGTCGACAGGCGTCTGTGTGAACACCAGTACGGTAATTCTCCCCGGGTCCGGATCAACGGACACGTGGCGGCCCGGTTCCCCTTCATCCCGCTGCCGCTGGACTACATCCTGCCAGAGCTCCTCAAGAACGCCATGAGGTAACAGACCGGAGCATCAGCTCTCGTCCTGCAGCTTCCCAAAGCCACACTGAGGAAGGCTTCATGTGTTTTTGAACAAATATTTTGTTAATTTGGACCTCGGTGCAGAAGGAGAAATGATGACGGTGGGAATTACAGATCTGTGGATGAAGGGTGAGCGATGGAGGAAGCCAGGATGATGGATAAATGAGTTAAAGTGGGAGAATGACAGTGGGAAGGCATGATGAATAAAGGAAGTAGAGAAGAGGGATTAGGAATGAATGATGTTTGTTTAGGAAGGATGTTTGAAGACTGAAAGATTTCTTTTTCTCTTCTGAAACTTTGGCAGAAAATATCACCTTCCTAACAGAGAATTTCTAAAAACTTTTCAGCGATCAGGAGATCCATTGAAAGTGGCTAAAAAAATGCAAAAATGTTGTTTAGTTTGATGGTTTTAAAAATAGAATAAAGACGACTGAATTGATCTCCTGTGTCTTACGTGACTCAGAAGTGTTTTGAGTTACTTAGTTTTTAGGGGCAACATTTCTGTTAGTGTCTTAGTTTTTTATTGATGCTCCTCCTTCAGAGCCACCATGGAGAGCCACCTGGACACTCCGTACAACGTCCCCGATGTGGTCGTCACTATCGCCAACAACGACATCGACTTTGTCATCAGGTCAGTGGCTTCAGGTCCAAATGCAAGAGTTCAACTCTGAGACCAAATGTTTACCAAAAAAGAGGAAACGTGTGGCTCGCTTTAATATTCAGCTAGCTGTACTTTAACTGGGCCATTGCAACACCTGAGCATGCCATATGTGGGCACCGGGCTGGAAGTTGGACTTCGATTTTATTGTCCTGCATTTAAACTCGGGCATCTTCTCGACTTCCCTACCCCTGCTGACAAACATTCATCCTCTCAGGCATAAGTTCCCAAACAGCGTTAGCTTCTCACCGCACAGACAAACTTTCTTTACTATGTTCTTTCTTCTCACTTTATTCTCTATTCGGTCTTTATTGCATTCATGCTGCCTCATAACTTCTGATTCTACTTGTCCATGAGTTCTGTGGAAGGACTATTAGTATCAGGTGTTTAATTAAGACTTTATTAAACGTTCCATAATGAAAATGAATGGATGGATGAGATTTTCTAATTTTTACAATCTCCCCAACTTTCTGAAGCTCGTCTGGCGCCCCCTAGTGACAGCCACTTTAACAACGCTGTCCTAAGTCGACAGTGTCGTCAATATTTTTAGCATAAAGGAGTTGTGGAGTACAAAACTAATATTTGTCACCACTGTAGTTTGTCTCAAAGTGTTTGTCGTTGTCTGACACTTCTCCCTGACCGTCTGCTGGGTTCCTGGGTCTCCATGCTGCTGGTTGTTCTTTAAAGGAGAACCAGAACTGCTGCATAAAAGGGAGTGACAGAATCTGAGTTACTATGTTCAGGTTTTTATTTTCCCTTTTGCTTCCCATTGATGCCCTCTTGGTTTGTCAGATAAAATCCCCCAAATTCCATGGAAGTTGGTAGTTGGAGCATTATAGAAAGAGGAATATCAACAACTTAGGAATAGTAATAGTGGTGAAGACATCTAACCGGACCTGGCGACTCCCAACAGCAGCTCTGCTTTGCACAAATGTTCAGACCCTGTTTAAGGCTGAAGTTCGTACCGAACCGTTAATTTATGTACCATCTGAGCTCCACTACATCGTTGTATAGATCATTTCACCTGCACTGGTTTCCTCTGGTGACGGTTATATTTTGTGTGTGTTCAGGATATCAGACCGTGGCGGCGGCATCCCCCACAAAATAATCGACAAAGTGATGGATTACCACTTCAGCACTGCGGAGGAGAGTGTGCAGGACCCCCGCATGAGCAACCTGTTCAACACCATCACTAACAGCGGCAACCAGTCCAGCCCAATGCATGGGTAAGTATGGGACCTGCTGATGCACCCTTTCTTTTTTTTTTAGTTTTTTCCATTCATCACTAATCTGTTGGCTTTTTTTTTTTCTTTTCTTTTTTACTCCCGTAGATTTGGTTTCGGCTTGCCCACATCCAGAGCCTACGCGGAGTACCTCGGCGGCTCCCTGTCCGTACAGTCCATGCAGGGCATCGGCACCGACGTCTACCTGCGTCTGCGCCACATCGATGGCAAAGGAGAAAGCTTCAGAGTGTAAAAGTCACTCCCTGTAGGTCCAAACGAAGGAATCAGGCCACGTTAGAAGGTTTTCTTCCCCATGTGAAGGCAGGCAGAGATGAGGTTATGTGTCTGCTGAGTGGCAGCCTTCAGATCACTGTCAGATCTTCTTTGTTTCGCCTTTTACTGATTATAAGCTATGTTAGCTCTCGATTTAATGATTTCGGTTGTGTTTTGTGTTTTGCAGCCTGTGGCATGTCATCTCTTAAGATTTGGCGGTTCATGAATTCTTGAATGTTTTTGTTCATTGGGAACTTTCTCTTAAAAGAAGAAGCTTCATCATTTCAAAGCTTCACGTTGAATTCTCAACAAGGTCAGCTCACAGATTTCATGAATCATCACCGCATTCATGTTTTTTTTTTCTTCTTTCAAAATCTAAAGCCTACCTGGGAAAAAGGGTTAGATTGGAAGCAGTAAATGGAAGTTTTTAAAGGAGTTTTGGATCTTGTGGCTTTAATAAAAAACCCACATGAAACATAAACATTCAAACTGCCAAAACTCAAGTTGCTTTCAGTCTTTAAGTTAGAAGAAACTTAAATCTGTTTTCTGGGCTGGAGATGTTCATCTGCCTTACTGTGCAACTGAACTGCATGATGACTTTTTACTTTCCTTTTTTTGAAATGTTTTATTCTACTGTCTGATGCCTTCATCGGTTCACACAGATGCACACCGTAGTATTCAAACACATCCGTCTTTATTATTAGGTTTTGTGTGATGTTGCTTGGCTCTCGCACTGACCACAGCCGTTTTTGACCTTTCTGGAACAGCTCACAAGCTAACAATGTACCAGAGAAGTGTTTTTTTTTTTTTTCAAAATGTTTCATTAGAAGTTTGCGGTCTTTGAGATAGGCTTCCATTTGATCATGTTTATGAAAAGCTAACCAACTGAGTTTGTTGCACTGTAATACTTTTATTTTTGATCGTTTGCATTCATTCGGCTAAGTTGTAGCTTGAGTCAGTCGGGTTCCCAGTGAGGGTGAAGTGTGCACACCTCCAAATTGGACATGCGGTTGCGGGGAGTCCAATAGAAATGATCAAATTCTCCGTCTCCTGCTTCACTCAGTTCTCAGCCTTGATCGGATCTGAGAGCCCAGCCAAAATACATGGAAGGTTATGAATATTGTTGATGAAACCCTATATCTGCATTGTATTATGCTGATTCAAAAACACTTGATTGTATTTCTTCTTTCTTTCGTGTGGATGAAACTGCTGGTTGGGGTACAGAAACCTCTCATTTGAAGGAGAATACCACAGACAAAGCATCTATGTTGGATTAATCAGGCAAATAAGGATAGAAAGCAGAAGTTATTAACTAAGAGCTCTCTAAAAAGATGTTTTAATATTAGATTTAGCAGATTTTCAACATCTGGCCTCAGAGTTGAAAAGGAAAAGAAAGCGAAGATGTTGAAGTTTTGTTCTTGAATGTACAAAAGTGACTAAATTTTTCCCCTTTGGTCAAAGAAATAGTAAAAAAAAAAGAAAAAAAAAAGCCTTGACTCATGTGGGTCAGGAATTTACAACATAATAAACACTATGAGCACTCCCATGATTGTGGCGAACATTCCCCAGAGTGATGCTGTTGTTATGCAGCAGATCCTCCTGAATGCTACACTCACATTGTCTTTTTCACGTAGCAAAAACTTCTAATTGCTGCATTCACTGTCGTCCTTTAAATGTGAAAGGGCGTCAGGAACCCAGCTTGATCCCACGTGTTTGCAGCTTTCCACAGTAAAAACTCCAAAGTTTTTTTTTGAGTGACATAAAAACCACAAATAAGATGCTCAATAAGATGCTTAGCAGCTTTTTAGTTGCTGTCAACATGTCTCCTGGGCATTTGTAAAGTTTACACAGACATTTAAATGAATTGTTGGCTTGTGAGGTGTTGTGAACGTGTTTTATTTGTAAAATAGAAAACATTTCCTTTCATTTTTAAAAGGCTGCAGTATTTATTTCTCACTTTATTGCGAAAGATCATTATCAGTACCTACATTTCTTAGTTAAATGGTGTAACTAATGGAAGTTATGACGATGGGGGGTAAAAAATGTAGCTTACGCCTATAAAGCATGAATAGTTTACTAGCATCTTTATTCTAAAGTATTGCTGAAACAATGTTGAAGGGAGATTTTCAATTTGATGGTGTCATAAAATGTGCACTGTTGCCCTCTGCTGGTCTAAAAGAGTTGAAGCAGGGAGAAAACTGAAGATAAAAAGGCTATTTCTTTCCCTATTTTCTTTTTTTGTTTTCGAATCGGTTACTAGATTTTTAAGTTAAAATAGAATGTGATTTGAAAATAGTTATGTTACTGAAAAAATCTGCTGCCATGAGGAGTTCTGTCTTCTGGACTAACGCTGGTTTCTCATAAATTTTGTTTTGTCCAAGATTTTGTAGAAATTAAATTTTGTCTATTCACTTCTGTGACTCTGAGCTTTCTTGAACACACAATGATTTGGACCGAGGATTTCTTTAGCAGGTCGGTGTAAGTCAAAAACAGTAAAATGATGCTGAGACTCTTTCTGATGCATCTTTTCCACGGCTATCGGTTCCACCCTTTGCCTCCATGTTGAACAAAGTCGTCACACAAGACAAAGAAAACATTGACCTTAGTTTTATTGAGTGGTACATTCCAGGTTCTGACCCGGGATCTCTGCAGAACCCAGCAGGGCCCACAGACATGAAACAAAAGAATCAAGTTACTTATGACTTATGACAGAACAGACAAATAGAAAAAGTGCACTTTTTTTTCTTCTGAGAACAAAAAATAAGTAAATAAAAATGAACTGAACCGCACTTTGGTCTTTTTTTTTTTTTTTGGAATGTGACAATTTGGTTCATGTTCCTTTAAAAAAATGAAATAAAATAAAATATAAACTGTTTATCCAGCAAACTCAAGGCAGTTATTCTGTAAGGCAATAGGAACAAGTTCAGACATTGAAGTGTTTCAAATGGCATCCAGGCAGGTTTGTTTCCTTTTGTAACAGGCAACAGAAGAAACTTTCAGAAACTATAAAAGCACAGTAAAGTCAGTCAGCTGTGGAAAAGTTAATGAATCTTTTCAAGTTATTTAAACTAATCTGCTCTGAATCAGTCACTTTGCAGAACCAGAAGAGAAACACTCAACTGATGATGAGCGAACAGAAAGAAAACATTTCATTTTCAGACAATGGAAAAAAAATAATAAAAAATGAAACTAAATTATTCACAACCCACATTCATTTCTCTAACTTTGACGATTGTGATTTACAGTCAATAAAAACCCACAAGTCGATTTCTAAAAACTTTAAATATCACATCAGACCTTCCTGATAAGGAAGATGGTGGTTCAAAGACTGCTTCATGCAAGCAAGTTGAAGTAAAATTACGCAGAAGGAAAAAGACTGGATGTTGGGCTATGGTTTTTTGCATTGTTTTTTGTCTAAACCACTCCAAAACCAGAGTCAACTACAAGGCAGCTTTAGAGCACTTCATGCTTGAAAATAAAGAAATTATAAAAACTTTTTTCTCATAATTTTAAGACGTTTGGGTAAAATTACGGCCTTATTCTGCTAGTATTATAGCTATATTCTTGTAATTAAACAAAAAATTCTCATATAACCCAGAAGGAATGATTGAAATAAAATCAACCAGCTGGATACGAAATTATTTACTGTCATTTACAATTAATTTTTTTAGAAAAGAAACCAAAAATATAAATAAAAAAAATTTAATCAGTAATCAGATCTGGTACGAAAAAGCCGAAGTTGATATTTGAATTTTGAGAAACAGAACTTTAGGTTTTCATTCTTTGTAAGCAGGAATCAACAAAATGAGCAAAAATAAACCCCTTTTTTTTAGCGTGAAATTGTTTTACATTTGTTTTTAAATGTCATTTTTCCATCATAATCTAATTTATTGAGACACAACTGTAACTACCTGCGGTGTGCAGAACCAGAACCCTTACAGTTAGATGGTTACCAAAGAGAACCATCACTGAAAGTTTCTGTTGCGTTTATCCTTTATTGACCTGTTTTATTCTGGCATTTTGTACAGAAGTTTGAAGTGTTTCTGTCTTAAAGAAAAAAATATATTAAAAACTTCAGAGATCTCAAAGGAGGCATTAACATTCAAGTAAATGTCTTACTAGTTGTAGCAGAAAGTCTTTTCAAGTTGCTGCATGAAACGAGTAATAAATACATTACTGTATGATGGCGTGTTAGTGACGTAGACAGAAAAAAAAAACAAGAGCAAATGTCCAAAAACACAGCGATATTCTTAGAATAATCTCAAACATTTTGTAGAAAAAAATGTGAACATTTTTTTAAATTAAAAAGTCCAAAAAATTTGAAAGAGAAAACTCAGAAATGTAAAGATGAATCTGACAGATTTTCTACAAAATTTTGGAGATTTCTGAGTTTTAAAAATAAAAAATATTTTCCTTCTGGAAATATTCACTTTCTAAAGTCAGTAAGCTGTGCGTGCAAATAAATAAATAATTAAAAGTTACACACACAATGAACAGGTATGTTTTTGAAACTTGGAAATTTTTATGTTTTTTTTCTGAAAATTTCTGATATTAATCTCAAAATTTCTAAATGTTTTGGCATAAATTTACTCAATTTATTTCCATTTACAATGGCCCTAATATGCTGCGATACTATTAGAAGAGATCGCAAAAGATAAAAACTCCTCCATGTCCCTAGAGGGCGCCGTCATTTTGGACACTATGGAAATGTAACATTGTTTCTGAATGGAAACCTGCCAGGAGCTTTGGCATCACTTTTTCATCACAGATTATGAATCCAACTAAAAACCCACCTGACTAAATGAGAACTCTCTTTGGCTGAGCGTGAAAACCAGGTTGGTTCGAACAGAAGCTGCAAGTCAAATCCAGAATATTCCACTGATAAAAAGAAATGAAAACAGGAAGTTGCTCATTTCCAAATGAAGCTACCGTTGTAAATCAGAGGCAAAGTGCATTTTGGTACGGAATAGCCCTTTTTGTCGTCTGTAAACTTTTTATAGTTTTGACCTCAACAGGTCTGCAGATCGGGCCAGCATTCCCAAATCGTTCCCCTTCAGAAGAACTTGGCAGTCTGAGGCCCAGCTCTATAAATATCCAACATGGTGGAGTCTGTAGCGCCGCTGTGCGTCAGGTCATCACACCGTCTGCAGGCCTCTCTCCTGGCCGTCCAGCTGCACCTTGATCTTGTGCAGTTCCTCAATCTCCTGGTGGTGGCGCTCCGTCTTGTGGCCCACCAGGGAGCGATAGAAATGGATGGTGAAGATGAGGAAGATGATTCCCACCGGGACCATGATGATGGTGGAAGCCAGCGCCGCCTGCCAGCCGCCTCTGTCGCTCGGCGGAACGCTGGGGGGGCTGGTTGGACATTCCTTGGCGTCGTCCTTGGATTCACGGTCGACGGGCAGGAACTTGATCCAGCAGAGGAGCACGACCTCGGCCAGGAACAGCAGGATGCCCAGCGCCGTGGAGAACCCCCAGGCCAGCTCGATGTAGTGGTGCATGCGCTCGTGCGGCGACTCGCTGACCGAGTTGAGGTTGTGGATGTTGCTGACGGCCTCCACGTTGGGCAGGATGCAGGTGCTGATGAGCAGGGCGAAGAGGTGAACGGCCACCAGCACCGTGGTGCACACGGCGAAGGAGATGAGCAGCTCTCGGGGGTAGCTGTACTTCAAATCCAGCTCCACCTCCACCATGGCCACCTGCAGCACAAAACCCCGTTAGAACAAACTCCGTGGTGAAGACGCAGCGATCCGATATGAACATCTGAGTCAGTCCTGATACTAAAACTAATATATAGCAGGAAAGGGGTCGGCAATATGGACTTAAAGTTTTATCACTTCATTCCATGGTAAAGTGGAATGTTATCAATTAAATAACTTTTATTGATAAGAATAACTTTCATTATGATTATTGCTATATACCATAACTATAAATCAAAGTTCTTACCGTGATAAAAAATTCAGATGTTCATATCGGATCGCTGCGATACGATACATTTTTAAATTGTGTAAATTTTAAAATGTCAACAGAGGAAACAGGAAGTGATTTGTTCTAAAGAGTCCAAATCCTCTGGAGGAAGCAAAGCATAGAAACAAAGAGCTGGTAAAATTTTATAAGGAAATGAATCAAAATGGAAAACGCTGCAAACAGTTAAAACAAAAGCATGTATGTATTGTAAACAATACGATACATGCCGACCCCCAACCTTCAGTGCAAAAACGAAGCCACAAAGGAGAACGCTGCAACCATTTCCTGGTTTCAGGGATAAGTGGCAAGATAATGGTGAAGCAAAATGTTTTCCGGTCTTTACACACAAAGATAAAACACAGACTTCCGACATAAAGTGTTGTTTTTTTTAACGTACCATTGCGAAGCCAGAGAGCAGGGCGGAGGTGCGGCTGCTGGCCTTCAGCTTGGCCCGGCTCAGGTAGAGCTTCCTCCAGGACAGGGCCTGGACTGAGTGGTGGTTGGAGCTGACCAGCTCCAGGTAGCTGCGCCGCACCCAGTCCCTGTAGTCCATGCCCCCGTTGTCAGGAGGCGGCGGCTCAGAGACCCCGGGGACCGGGGAGCCCATCTGCACGCTCAGCTCCCGGCTCATGACACCTGGAGGATAAAACACAGAAACACCGTCATCAACGCAGCTTCATCATCTTCATTTACCCAGTGGCTTCAAAATGGGGGACAGATATTGAGGAAAGAGGCAGGTTTTTCCTTCTTCCTGCTGTCTTCTCATTTGTAGATCAATGTTGAAATTTGTTAAATCAAGTAAACAAACTGACTAATTGATTTTCACTTCACTCTTCATCACTTTCATATGTTGCCCAATTAAGATGAGAAGTCTGCAGACTTCACCCAGGAATAAGATATGAATAACCGACAAACACATTAAAGTTAGTAAAGGAGGAATTTATGCAGCATTTTGTCCCACGGTTCCCTATCAGAGTACTGGCTTCTGAACACCAGCAGCTATTTTTGACCGTCTCCCAGCGGTTTTGCAGTCTGTGTTCTCCTGTCAATCAGCTCCTCTAACTCCAAGTTTCTATTCATGTCATCAGTGAAGATCTGGAATATTCCCACGATCCTCAGTTAAGCTTATTAGGACACAGAGTGTGTCTGTCACAGGAATGTTTCACTTAAAATTGCTGCTTGTGAAATTCCAGAGGAGCCGCCGTGGGAATAGAAGAGGAGGAAACAGGAAGACAAACAAAGACAAATAAACTATCTTCCAGCAGTACAAATTTGAGAAAATGTTTTAAATAAAAAATTTATAATGAATATTATTATACTGCAAGATGTCATGCTGTTATGTTGGTGTGACTGTTTTGAATAGAATAAATACAAATAACTTTTTTACCCCCCCGATGGGGAAATTCAGATATTTGAAAAGCAAATTGACAGACAAGTTGAAGCATGCAGGTTCACTCAGAAGTAAAAATATAGAAACAGAAAATAAAAAAGGAGAAACTGTACAGACAGGGCAAATTTACAGCATAAGAAAAACATACTATGCAGTTATCAAAAATAGCTCAAAGAAATATTGTCAAATTGAGCATAAAACAACAAACTTGTCAAAAGTGTGCAGATAACATAAAGTTCTGAGACAAAATGTTTAATATTCACTTTGCTGTCTCTGGTGAACAGATCCAGTGCAGACACAGCTACAAAACAAAAACAAAAAGCCTGGTAAAAAGCTCAACAATTTTAAAGTTAATAAAATATCAAAAGAAAAAAATTGGGATCAGAGCAAAGAATCAATTTATTAATAATTGGCATATGTATCAAAACTGTTTTATACTTCATTGTTGCACCAAGAAGGTCCAGGGTTCGATTCCTGGACTGGGGTCTTTCTGCATGGACTTTCCATGGGTTCTCTCTGGGTACTCCGGCTTCCTCCCACAGACCAAAACCATGACTTTCAAGTTTTTGTTCCATGTATAAAGTCGATTATTAAATAATCGCTCCATTTGAGACCTTGGCACAAACTCACCACACAGAAGAAATATTTCTGAATCTCTGGAGATTTTAAGCCCTTAGGGGGTCACTTTTAGAAATATAGGCTCTCTTTCTATGTTTATTTTAGAAAACAAATCCATACTACTGATGTTTTCACTCGAGTTTAGGACATTTATTAAAAAAAAAAGAAATATATATATATATATATATATTATATATATATATATATATATATATATATATATATATATATATATATATATATATATGCAAATTAGTAGACTCGAAGAAGTCTACAATTTATTACTGACAAAATATGTTCAGCAATTGGATAAAACAAAAATGAAGGGACTTATATATTTATAAAGGCGATAGTAGATTTGAACCGCGTTGTCGTGTTTATTCATCAACCCGAAAGTGCTTCGCTGAGCCTGGAGGACAGACAGGTCAGCAGAGATCAGCTCCTTTACGCTTCATGTATATTTAGAAACCCGCTAGAAGTGAGCTGGATACGTTTACAGACTTATATAGAAAGTTCATTCAAAGAGCTGCAGTTATCTGAGTTCTACTGCGAAAGCCGAGGAAAGAAAAGCAGACAATTAAAAAATAAATATATAAAGCAAATACATTTAAACAGCTGACATTTAAAGATGAACGATGCAAACTCCTCGGCAAGTTTTCAGGCAATCTAAAAAGACTCCTCTTGCTAGCTGATGCAGCTAATATCAGAACAGTTTGAAAACAGCCAAATTATCAAGTTTTTGGTCAAATGTGTTAATTAAAGTTTATTTTTCTTACCTGTTCACAAAGGTGCCTTCGGAACCTCAGATATAAACTGAACCACAGTCTTGTCTCCACGCTGTTAGAGAAAGTAAAAAATATCCCGCAGGTCCGACCGGGGTTTAGTACATCAGTTAATGTCTTTTTCTGGAGGCAACGACGGCCTGTTTTTCTGCTTCTGCGGTAAAAATTTAGGTTCCGTGAGTTTAATGTCTGGACCCACGACGAAAAGGCAGACTTCCTTCCGCACTGCCACCTGAAACCCGGTCGCTAAGGTTCGTATGATTTCGGGTGGGACTGAGCAGAAAAGGAAAGCAGCAAAAGTCATGGTTTCCGGTTTTGTGTGCTGCTTTCAAAATAAAAGAACACACAAACGTCGACAAGAACCTGACGTAGCGTAAAAGCCGGGGACCTCATTGGTCTAGGGAACAACACGTCAGCACCTCCACCGCATTGTAAGTGGTCGGTTTATGGCCGGTTCCTGTTAGAAACAAATACAAACCTGTTTGGAAACGGACTTTTCCAGATAAAAAAATTGTAATTAAAAAAAAATACAACAATGACAGAAAATAAAGAACCTCTTCCAATAAAAATAGGCAATTAATTGTTTAGTTTAAGTTGCATTATTTATAATAATAATAATATTAATACTACTACTACTACTACTACTAATAATAATAATAATATTAATAATAATAATAATAATAATAATAATACAATATAAAAACAATTACATTATTATTAATGAGTTTATCTAACTTTGGATGACTAATGAGACTGATGCTCGTGCCTTGGATCACCAAACTAAATCTAAAATGATCAAGTTTAGTTTAGATCAAATTTATTAAGACAGAATGGCCTAATCAAGGTTAAGATTTAAATCCAATGGAGAATTTATGATAAGACTTAAAACTTGATGTTCACAAGTGCTTCCTAACTAATCTGACTGAGATTAAATTGTTCTGCAAAGACGGATGCCAATAATTTCTGTTTCCATACATCCAAAGATGATGGAGACACCAAAGTGGTTCTGCAAATTATTGACTCAGAGGAGCTGAATATGAATGAATGGCTCACCTTTTGGAATTTTAGAAGTGAAAATGTGAAAACCATGTCTAATTTCCCTTCTACTTCACAATTACATACAACTTTGTGTTGAGCTATCATAAAAAATCAAGAAGTCAGGACTGCCAGACAATAATTAATAATTATTTAAAACATTTATTGAAGAGCATCATAAAGTACAAGTGAAACATCTGCAAAATGGGCTTAAGTTGCTCCATATGTCACCTCTAAAACCTGGATTCAGAGATTTCAGTGATGAGTTTAATTTAAGGCACAGAAACAACATGATGACTTCACAGTTAAAGGGTTTCTCCAGAGTTGTCACTTATAACTTTTAAGATGTCATTATTGATTATAGTGCTGTTGATAACTTTCTGTCAGTTCTAATTTCTGCTTTGGAGAAATAAAAAGAGATGATATAAAAGATGTCCTTAAAAAAAGCCAACAAACCATATTTCTTTGCTGCGCAGAACAAATTTAGTGTTTTTAAACCTAATGAGCATCACTGTGCAAGGAGCCGACTAAGCAACATACCGTAATTATTCAAATTTAAACTCAGTCCTGCAGAACTGAGTCTAAATATTATTGTATACAATAAACAACACAATCAACCAATGAAACATATCTGATTTATGAACATTTTAGGACAATAATAAGAGTTTATCTTTCTGTGTTTGTGCATTTAGGAGACACTTTCATCCACACCAACTACCAAAAGAGAACGTAACAATGCACTCTAAGAAAATTAATTTTAATTTGTAATATAATGCCTTGAATGCCTCTTTGTGAAAACCCCCTGCTCTTTCTGACACTCCGCCTTCAGAAAGTCATCACATCACTCCATTGAACTCAGTTTCACCGGGTGTTTGCTAATTGTTGCTGGCTAGTCTTAAGGAGTTGAGTGAGGGAGCGACAGGGAGAAGATACTTGAAAGCTTGGCAACTGCACCTTCGAGGAGGAGCTGTGCTTCAAAGGTGGGGCTAAATCCAGCCGGGCATTTTGCACAGCTGAATGGTTGCCATAGAGATTAAAGTATTTTTCATACATGCATGAAAGAATCAAGGCAACACTCCAGATATGGTTTTAACAAGGGCATAACTTTATAGCACAATGTAAAGCTAAAAAAAAGACTTACTCTTTCTCTACAAAATACTGTAGAGAAAGAGTAAGACATCTTAATTTTCCTGTCAACAGCATTATCTCACAGATTTTGCTGTATTAGTTTCTTAGTTTATTCCTATGTTCTGTTACGTTAATTGTCAGACCTTTTCCCTTTTGGTTTGTAGATTCTTGAGACCCTGCTTCTACTGTACACCCAGTTGGGGAGTGATAGTGACAGTGTCATATTTTCATAAAGTTGAGCAGTTAGTCATGCGAATGTGACTGGCAGCACCTGGCTGCAACGTTCACAATTTGTGTCATAAATATCGAAACTGGGGTTAGATTTGAATCCCTTTAGAACCTCATGAAGGCCTAAATCATGATTACTCTGTCCTGAAATGCAAAACCGTCTGATTTAAAGACATTGTCGTTTCTTTTACTCTTTACACCAGGAATCAGTTTTGTTTATTTACAATAGATTTAAACGTAAAAGGTGTGATATTGTCTGAAATTGGTCACTAAACATTTGCACTTTTGGCAATCTTTTGCTTTTCCTGCAAAAGGTTTAATGACTCTGAAGGACTGTTAGTATTTGTTAGGTGAGAAGGGAGAAAGCAAACAGGAAGGACTAAACCATTATCCTCAGAAACGTTCTGTTCAGTTCTTTCCTGTTTTCGATGAGCTTGTATTTGTGCATTATCTATCTAATCACAATGAGTGATTGCTGTATGTATCACATCAAATTTTCTACTCATGTGTAACTCCAAACCAGCAGCCATTAGATACTACATGCTGGTGTGAACCCTACTGTCCCATCAACACAGAGCCCTCTGCCTGCCATGCTGCTGTGGCTGCTGCTGCAGATGTTTGGCTCCCAGAGGTTTTTATGGGTTTCCTTCAGGATTTTACTGGACAGTTACTACTGTGGTGTTGTGAATGGACTCCATCACAGCGGCCAGGCGGCTGCACAGGTCGTGGGCCTGGTTGACGTGAACTTTTGGTGGATCTTTCAACACCACCGACCCACTGGAGCCGTCCAGAACCCGCGGCAGCAACTCGCCCAACTTTACCTGCAGTGAATCTACAGAAAACAGAAAAACCCAGCAGAAATGAGACCTTCAGATGATAGTTTCTGGTTTTGAATGATTGATCACATTGAGAAATTTCTTATTGGAACAAATTCTCTTCTGTAATTAAATTGATTCCTGATTGTGTACATTTTAAAAAGAATAATAAAAAAAAGGGAATAGATGAAATAAGTAAAATTATTGTTTGTTTTTAATTTATCTATGAAATTGCTGACACTGTGTGTTTTAATTTTGTTTGTGTGTTTTAAGGCATTTTGTGACGTTCTTTTGTAATGTTGGTAAAAATGTTGTAATTGTTGAGGCGGTTGATTTGAATTTTGTGTTTTGACTTAAGGAGTTTTAGTATGTCTTTTTTGTAATGTCTGTAAAAGTATTATTTTTTATTGTAACATTTGTGATTAGACTAATGTGAATCCTCACAGAAACAAATAAACTAATAATCACAGTGGTTAAACTTCTCATGATCTGCCCATGTTATTCTTAATAACTCACCATCCATGTCCTGACCCAGGCAGCAGCACCAGTGGCTGCGGATGTTCTCCATAGCATCCCGGTCCTCCTGGGACAAAGCGGAGTCCCGGCTCATCAGGTGAAGGCAGGGAATGACGGCTTCGTCCATGATGGAGAGACCCTCCTCCACTTTTCCCTCCTCGCCGCTGCAGAACAGCCGGGACGCGCTGTCGTTCAGCGCCTGATTGGTGGATAAGTACAGAGAATACTTGGCTCAAGTTCTCCACTTTAATATTTACACAAATACAGTTTTATTTGTATGAAATATTTTAGATGAAGTTGATATGAAGGTTGAACAACAAGCTTGGAGTTTGTGTTCAGATCCTACGCTGTCTATAGGGGCAAAAGGGGCAAAATCAAATCATTAAAACAAAACTTATAATCATCAGTGCAGATAATTAATGAAATAGATATTTATTTATTTTGTATTTATTCCTGCTTCTACAGGAGCAGGAATAATTCTGTTAAAATGAGATAATTCTGTTAAAGTCACTCATTAAAGTCAAGGAACAGCGCTATGAAGGGTTTACACTGACCTGCTGAACTCCACTAGTTTACAATCAACTCTTCAACTTCTAGACCGTCTGCTAATTGCGAAATATGACTTTAAAGAAGTCATTGGAAAGCTCATAAAAATTCTCCCCTTCAAGGGCTGCCATGATTTTCAAAGCATGGCGATAAACTGGCTGAAACAATGTATTTATTTGTACTTTTATGCAATAAAGAAACATATTCACCAACAGACGGTGTATTCTGTTACGTGTCAATCCTGTGTGGAAGAACAAATAAGACTTAAACTCTCCGAAATGTGATGAGAGCATTTTTGAAAACACATGGCAGCGATATTGGATTTTTAAGGTAAAGGGTAGTTGCAAAAATATGACTTTCCAGGTTTCGATTCAGACCAGAATGAACCATACTTGGTTGTTTCGCCAACAAATCATGACAAGTTCTACGTACCTCATCCATGTGGGGCATTTCATTGAAAAGCAATATTTTTTAAAGTCTTTTTTAACTTAACGGTTAATTGAAAATATGTCTGTCCTCTGATAAAAAAAAATGTCAATAAACAAATGAATTCAGATTGGATCCATGATAAACTTCAAGGTAAAGTTTGTGGCAACAAAAATAACCTGAGCTTCATGGCCCGAGTCCATCAAAATGAAACATCTACTTTGAATGTGAATTCATAAATTGTGTATAAACCACAAACATGTGTATTTGCATATGCCTCACTCCTGCTGCAGAGAAAGTCTAAATAAGGAAATATTATCCCACCAGTCGCTCATGTCTAAAGTTCTGCCCTAGAAAAAAACTACTTCAGCAGCTGGCTGAACGCCAGAACATGTCAAATAAAAATGACGGGTCACAGCGATGATTTTGATGGCCCTCAAAGTTTCCTCTAGTGCAAGCCAAGACCTTTTAGAAATAAAAATATTTAATTAAGTGGCTGTTTTAGGCTGAAAACTGAAACAGCTTGGATTGTAACTGCTGCTTTACTCACAGTGATGCACTTTCTTCTGTAAACTGCAATAAGAGCTTTGTTCACACCACGCTTCTCTCCCTTTCCCAGCAGAGTGGCGTTGGTCTCATACGCATGAGCCAAGTAGTTCAAAGCCTCTCGCATCCTGTGACACAGTCAGAAAGAAACCAAATAAGCACTAAAAACCACAGCTGCTCTTTAACTGTGTAGTACAACACACAAGAAAATTAGAGTATTACATAAAGTTGAAATTTTTTTGCCAGTCATCTCAAAAAGTTTTCTTTATATATATATTTCAAGCTTTTATGATTTAATGAGTTCCTTCCACACTTCTTCCTTCCACTGAGTTTTGTGTTAATATATTTGAATACAGAAGTGATGACTGTCGATTGTCTTCTGAACATCTGTCCAGTCAGTCATGACAGTGCAGCTGACTGGCCCAAAGTGAGAGATCGTTCAAAGGCTCAGGAAAACTTAGCAGGTGTTTTGAGTTCATTAGCTGGTTAGAATGTTATACCATGAGTTTTCATTCATTACATTTTTCATAGTATTCTAATTTTCTGAGACACTAAATTTTGTGTTTTCCTTATTTGACTGACATAGTCACCAAAATTACAAGAAACTTGGAATTCTTCCAAGATGACTGGCAGGAAGTGTTGAACTTTTACACAATATTCCAATTTTTAAAAATGTACTCGTACATTTCTTGTGTTTGAAAATAAAGTACATTGACTAATTACTTAACAGAGGTATTTATTTTACTTTTTGGAGCATTTTTTCTGTTGTTTTAGTTCACTGCCATTCCATAAAGGTGAATTTGAAACACTTTTTTTTTTTTTTTTTTTTTTAACCTAATTTGCTAGATCCTTTGCCTCTAAGCATTGCTCTAAAAACCATACAATTGCAGATCTTGCTGTATGACTGAGGTCACTGAACTCTGACTGGCTTCCTGTCACTGTGTGGTTGATGTGTTCAGGACAATGTGCAGCAATACTCATAGTATTAGTTTTGTACTAACAAACTGGTGTTAGGGGGGATACTTTTGCAAATCACTCTGTAGAAATAGAGGATAATTCTGCCTTACTTTCCGTGCTGATAATGCTCGAGTCCAGTTAGCAAGTAGACAAACACAGTCCTGAAGTCCCTGTAATCGTCATGCCATTGCTGCAAGAAAACACACGCAGAGACACACACATTCACCACTGCCTGTTTAATCTTCCTCTTTTTTTGTGGCATTAGCAAATAGTAGGGAGATTCATCCGGTAGCCATGGTTTTGCTTGGTGTGTAAATATAATTTGTTTGTTTTTTGCATTTCAGAGCAGTTTTACTGCAGGTTCAGCAGGTTCCACAAAAGGAGAAGTCTATTGAAAGGCTCAAAGCCTCTTGCATCCTGTGGTTGAAAGAAACCCTCTTTTTATGCAAGACAAAAACATTCTCAATACTTTTGAACTATTGCACATAAAAAAAGCTTCAAATTCACTTTGTACTCAGTTTTAACTAGCTGCTATAGTCATTGTAAGAATCAAATAAGTTACAATTGCAGCACTGTAACTTCATCGAAGTCACAACTTTATTTCACTATTCTTGACATTCAGCAAGACTCAGTTTTCAGTGATAACATGACTGAAATTCACAGTTTTTCCTCACATTTACATTGTTCTGATCCTGAAATCAACAAGCTGGAGGAAATAAATGATTCATTAATTTGTAGTAACTAACAAAAGAAACAAGAGACACGCAATAATGTCACACTGGGTTGGATAAACTGGACAGTACCATGTATTCCTCCATGTCCATGTCTTCTGGCTTAATGAGGCGGAGCTTGGCCCGGGCTTCTCTCATTATGCTGATGGCCCTGCATGCACAGGAAGGACAGCTGGAGTTTAATGTTGCAGGTGAAATAGTGTCACAACCAGCTTTGGACACAAGATGGCAGCAGATGAACAACGGATGGCTGTTTTCAGCCACATTAGAAAAATCTGTCAAATTAAATATTTGGTGTCCAAAAAAAACCCCATTTCACTTCATTTAAATAAAGGTTTGTCCTTTATTATAGCTTTAGTTGTGTGTTTTTTATTACAGAAATTTCTAAATTCTGATCAAGCCCACATAGCCAGAAAAGCTATTATTAAAACTAACAAAATTAAGAAAGTTGAAATTAAGAAAACCTTTTTTGCTTACTGAAATAAACAAAACTTGTAATTAATGGGGAAAATAACTATAACTAAACAATATTTAAGTAACAGTAACTAATAAAAACAAGCAAACACACTGTAAAAACTAACTAAAACTAACTGAACTAGAAAAACAAAAAGTTACAAGAAATAAAACTAAAGTATAATGAAAAATCCAGAACTGAAAGAAGAGCCGATTCTGTTTGCACACCTTTCGTCAAAGCTGAGGTTGCGGTCTGTAAACTGCTCCAGCAGCGTCCTTTCGATGACACGGTTGGGCGCCTTGTTCTGAAAGAAGTAAACCAGAGCGTGCTGCAGACGGGCGTCCTCCTGGGGCGTGGTCTCCTCCTGGGAGAGCTCATACAGCCGGGAATACTCCTCATGGAAGGCCTGGAATACCACGGAGAAATATGAGTTTCAACGTGTCGCTTTCTCTTACCAATGTGTGCAAATCTTTGTCTAATGTCAAAAACCCCAGAATTTCATAATTGCTGTGTTTCAGAAGATAAATTAAAATCACACGTGAATAAGGTTGTTCACACAATAAGTTATTTCAAAAGAATGGCAGCAATGGATGGAAACAGTTATGAAATATATCAGAGGAGACATTGGCTGGCGACTTATTCAGTCATTAGAGAGAGAAGCCCATTGGACTTGGGAGCGGCTTCATATACGTAGATGCTCTATTTTGGTACATCTGTCTTGATACAGCTGAAAAGCCACCTCATTCTAGAGCAATAACTTTTTATTGAAAAACTGAGTTTTTTTCTTTTTTTTCTTTTTAGCAAATTTATTTCCATAATTTTAATTTTTGAAATTCTATGGCTAATGGAAACACAGCTAGTGAGGCACGGACTGGGCATGCTACAGGTTTAAGAATGATCTTCATATTCATGCACAATTTGAAACCCTAAACCTTTATTGCTATTAATAGAACAGAAGTTTTTGAATAATTTAATGCAAGTCTTACTGCATGAACTTTTCCATTGATATTTCAAGAATTACTTATTTAAAAATAAACAAACAAAAATGTCCTCTGGGAATGCATTTTGTTTCTTATTTAAATTGAAGCATGATGGAGAAAGACATTAAACATTTGAATATCTTACCTTGATGAGGCCAGCCTCAGGGCCCTCTTTGTCAAACGTTTGTCTTGCCTTGGCTATGGCTAGGATGACACCCTGCATAGCTGGGGTAAGCATCATCTATGAAATGAAAATGGGACCATAGCAAATGCTTAACAAACTGGAATCGCCTTTAAAGATGTTTCATGAAAATAGTCCGGTCAAAAAAGAGAGATAACATTCTTACTGCAGAAAGTCAGATGCAATTCTCCATAAACTAAGATCTCTACTTAGTTTCTAGAATAGAATAGAATAGAATTCAACTTTATTATGGAGTAGAGATCTAGTTCCATGTAATTTGCCTATCTCCATCTGTCAACAGGCGAGAGGCAGGGTCAGCCTGGACAGGTCACCGGTCCATCGCAGGGCAACACAGAGACAGACAGGATAAACAACCATGCACACTCACATCTAAGGAGAATTTATCCAGACCAATCAATCCAACAGTCATGTTTTTGGATTGTGGGAGGAAGCAACCCACCATCCACAGGGAGAACTTGCAAACTCCATGCAGAAAGACCCTGGGGAGGGAATTGAACCCAGGACCTTCTTGCTGCCTCTACCAACTGTGGCACTGTGCAGCCCTGCACGTCATTTATTGCTCACTAATTCAAACTTGCATATCTTGTTGTGCAAAAGCACAAAGTCAACAGTTGTTCTATCAGACTGAAAGAGGTCGACAAGCCCACACAAATCTACCATTTATAAATTCTAATGGAATGGAAGTCAATGACTTTTGTTATGAAGTAATATAAGAACCTGCAGAAAGTATCAGTGTTTGTTATAAGTTTATTGTAGAAAAAAACAACAAAAGGAGAGTTTTGTCATTCAAAGCCATTCAGTTCAATACAGTTTTATTTATAAAGTATTTAACTTCCCAAAGAGACCACAATCCCTAACAAAATAAATGAAAACATTAAAAATGACATAGAATTGCAAATATTTAAAACAATTTTTAATGCAGTTAATCACAATGTTTTTTTGTTTTTCTGCGGCTTTTCAGTAAAAGTCTCTGGATAAATGTTGCTGTAATTATAATAAAAATTTAGTTGCAAAAGATGAATATTTTGTGTTGTATTTAACATTTACCAATGCAAGAAAATCTTGTCAGTAATATCCATCCATCCATCCATCCATCCATCCATCCATCCATCCATCCATCCATCCATCCATCCATCCATCCATCCATCCATCCATCCATCCATCCATCCATCCATCCATCCATCCATCCATCCATCCATTCATCCATCCATCCATCCATCCATCCATCCATCCATCCATCCATCCATCCATCCATCCATCCATCCATCCACTGCCGTTTATTTTTATGTGAAATAAACAAATTTATATCTATATTGAAGTGGAGTTGGAGGACACACAAAAAAAGTTTGAGGGCCATGAATGGCCCCCGGGGCCACACTTTGGACTGGGACTGTATAATTATATTGATTCTATGATATTTATTGATTTTTTTCCACCCTTAGAAGGTATCAATTGCTCTTATTAGCAACAGACTAAGAGTATCAGAAACTAAGAGTAGGATGAGATCCTGGCAGTCTGAGAGGCAGCGACTCAGATATCCAAACAGGGGAATGGCGGCGCTGCGCAGCAGCAAGGAGTCAATCACTACGGGGTGAGACGGAGCCACTCCCCCAGCTTACAGCCACGGCTAATTCCGGGAGCCAAGGTAGAAAAGCCTTTTTCCTATAGTTGGATCAATGTTGAAACTTTGAGTTTTATGTCAAATCCACATGAATTAAATGACAGAAACTGATTTTTACCCTCATCTTTGATTCATTTTGTCCAGCTATAGACTATTGGACTCTTTCCAATCAGTCAGGTATTCGGTGCTTTTAATCATTTTTCAGTTAATTAAATCCAAGTCTATTGAACACAAAATATCACTAATATCACAAAATATCTGTTCTTCTAAAATCTTCCAAAAAATCATAAAAGCTCATTGAAATGTATTGAATTGTATTGATTGCCAAATATCACGATACATATTGTATTGTGATCAGAATATCGTATATTGTATCGTGACATTATTGTATCGCTACACCTCAGCTTTGGACACCCCTGTGTTCCTTGAATGAGCAGAGGTTCCTGAAACAACTGAAACGGTATAATAGCGACTAAACCAATCAGATGATTAAATAACCTACAGAACAGATTAAAAACAATGTCGACAAATGGTTCAAATTGACATGGAGATACCCTGATTAAAAATCTCATTCGACGTTGTAATTTTCTCACCTCTTCATTGTATCCATCAGCATCAGCCCTCACCATGATGCGGCCCACGTTGGGGATCTCCACTTCTGACACCTCGTTCTCCGCCTGCCTCTGCCTGGCTGGTTGCTCCTGCTGCTGCTCCTCGTTTCCTGGATCTGCTCCTAGTCCAGGAGCCTCCCCAGAGGCTCCGGGTTCATCGTGAGCCTCTGAGTTTGGTCCCAACATCTCCCCATGCACACGCGCTTCAGCCTGGTTACCGAGCGCTGCATCCAAGCCAGAGGTCTGACAAAGACACCAGGAACAAAATTAAAGGTTTTTGGACTTTTGTGACATGATTTCATACTTTTTAACGTCTTTAATCTGTTGAATATCTTATAGAGCTGCAAGGCAAGTTTCTAAAGGGTTAATTATTATTTCATTGCAGTTTCATAAACAAGGGGCCCCAAACCAGCATCTAGCTTAGAGCCCCCACAAACCAAGGAACCACTCTGTCTGCAGGAATACAGGCAGTGGGACTGTAGGATTGTAGGAGCTGGGGGGATCTGAAGGAGTTGGGACTTTCCCACCTGACTCTGCAGCCCTGCTGGGTCCGGGCTCGGTTCCAGGGTGTCGCTGACTGTGGGAGTGTCGGTGGGATCTGCTTGGCAGCCAGGACTCGCAGATGGGGGCACAATCTCAGACTCCTCTGCTGCTGAGTAAAGCAGACAGAGGCCTTCATTCAGTACAAGGAAAGCTTTTTTATTAGATATTAGATGAAATTGGGTGTTAGATATTAGATGAAATTGCCGGATCCACAAGGGTAGATCTATTCAGTCTAATTCTATGCTTTGCACTCTCAGTGACTTTATTCTTTACTGTTTATTTTGCATTATATTTAGAATTTCTAATCGCATTTTCTGAACAAATTGAAAGAAGATTAGTTCCTGTTTATTTTTTTGTCAGTTTCTTAATTTTATATTTTACATGTGCTGTGATGCTCCTAATTGTGCTTACTGAACAAATTTAAGTTATGTTGTTTTCACATGTTTGATCAAGCTTGTGAAGATGGATTCAGGTATGCTGTACTGGTGCAGTTATCAAAAGGTCTTAAAAGGCTGCCTTTCTGTATCGGATCGGTATCGGCCAATACTAAACCTCAGATATCTTAACTGGAAGAGAAAAAGGTGGATCATTGCATTGTTGAAGGCAAAATGTGTCTTTACGGAAACTCAGTTGCTTTTCTCTTTCTTATTAGTGTAACACACCTTCAGGCATCTCTCTGGGTTCACAATCTGCAGTCTTATGCTCTTCTGAGCCGGACCGGGCCTCTAAAGACGCTCCTTGCTCCAGCTCTTCAGTGGAAGGTCCGGACTGTGGTGCTGGCTCCACAAGTGTTAGCTCTGTGTTCTCCACGCTGGAGCTGGGAGCCTCCGCTGGGGTCGTAGACTCTTCCTGCGGAGTGGCGGTCTGGCAGAACTGCTCCTCCCACTCGCTGAGCTCCTGCTGGAACCAGCGGTTGTCTTCCTGAACGTAGCGTCTGAGCGCAGCCGGCAGGGAGTCCATGCCATGCAGCACCTGGCCTGTCTCATCATCTGTGTCTTCTGGGTGGAACACGTGGTTAGACAGAGGGTTCACTCAACAAGCGCACCATGTTTTCATATTTTATAACTGGCACCCATAAAATAACAGCAATCATTTTTGTTATTTAATCATAAGAGAGAAAAAAATGGGGTTTCCAATTGTAAAGTAATTTTTTTATCATGTTATTTATTCATTTTTTAAATGTCAGGTTCAAACTAAATATATAATTAGGTAGCTAAATATATAGCTTTAAACTCAGTATATAGTTTAGGCCACCCTAATATTTAGCTTCAAACTAAATATTTAACAAGCAAGTTAAATATTAAGTTTCAAATTGAACATTTATTTAGCAAGCTAAATATTCAGCTATATATTTAGTTCAAGAAAAATATTTAGCAATCCAACTAAATATGTAGTTAGCAACTATGACAGGCTAAAACCCCCAAATTATTTCTGTTAATTTAACACCCCAAGATAAGTGAAAATTTTTATAAAATATGTTCAAATTAATGGCAGGATTTGTAAAACCTTAGTGATATAAATCAAAGGAGAACTGATGAGTGTTGCTATGGCTGAGCGCTGTTGTACCTGTGATCAACTGGGGTAGCCGATCATCAATGTACATCAGGCAGTATGCGCTGGCGTTGGTCATCCCCCCAAATGAGTCCCGCTCCAGCTCCTCCCACGAAGACTCGGTGATGCTGACATCGTTGTACTTCATCCAGCGCTGGTTGGCGTGGTCGTAGATGTACGCCCAGTAATGACCTGCTGAGGCCTGACCTTCATGAACAAGCACTGCATGCAGTCTGTAGGGCACCTGTGGAAAATACCATTTTATTAGACTTTTTTTAAAAAAATTAGCCTGGCATACAGTTTGTCATTTCCTTGATAATGATCAACAAATATTGCATTTCAAACAGTCTATTCCAGTGTAAATATTACACACACATATTATATTTGTGTTATATTGTACGTCGTCAGCATGTGTTTGTAGTTGTAGGTTTTTACAGGTTTGTCTCCAGCAGCTTTACTCATCTACAGACTAGACCGCAAAAAGAAAACAGGAGATCCAACTTTAAACAATTATTTGCTACAAGTAATCAAATTAAGTTTATCAAAGCAAATTTATTAAGTTGGCAAACTTTTTTTTAAGTTGGAGCTTCATTGTTGCTTTTTAGTGTACAGACAAAACAGCTGAATCTTAGTCAGAGTGTATACATAAATTGCTATGTCTTACCACAAAATTTCTATTTATTTTAAGTCTTGACTGTGACATTCTGACACAAAAATATGCTTTTATCTAATTCATTCCAGAATTAGATAAAATTGTGAGACAAATTAGATAAAAGCCTTAGAAAACATGTGATCCAAAAAAAAAAGACTTAGTTTGTTACATCAAATTAAGTTTATCTATGTAAATGTATTAAGTTTGCTAAGGTGTTATGATAAACAAATGTTAAAGACTTAAGTTTGACAAAGTTAATTCCATTAAATGTAACAAATTAATTCAATATTTTAAAGTTGGAGCTCTGTTCTCTTATTTCAATGGATTGTAGCTTTGGTTGTATGTTTAAAGGACTAACAGGATTTCTAACATGTTTTTTATGTATTTAATTTCATCCATCAATTCTATCCATCCAAAGACTACCCCATAGGCTGATGCTGCCACCACCATGCTTTTCTGGAAGGATGAGGTGTTCAGTTGGGATTTCCATTAAAAACCCAATTGGATACATAAAAATCTGAGGTTGTAATGTGACAAATGTAAAAAAGCCCAAGAGGTGTGAATACTTCTGGAAGCCACTGCAGGATAAGTCATTGAGGATTTTTTGTATGCAGAAAATGAAGTCAAAAGAAGTGTCACCTGGCAGAGACTGTTGTCTGAGTACATGCCTTCGAGTGTTTGAGTGAGTTTGTCTATGTTGGTCTTTAGCTCTGGAACACAGAAACAACACAAAGCCATGACGAAAACCAGATGTACAAAATTCTCCCTCTGATAAAGACATTTAAAAACCATTTCTTCTGCGTCTCTAGCGTACCGTTTATGTCGTGCTCTACTTCAGTCCTCCAGCGCCGCAGGCAGGTCTTCACGAAGTGCAGCTCTTCTTCTGAGGCGCTGTGAGGCGCTGGGTGGGGCGGGCAATCAGACGGGTGTTTGCACTGGGTGAAGGGCTTGTAAATAGGCGTCTGCTGGCAGTTTGAAACACTGGAAACCAGACCGTCCGTAGAGCCTTTATCTCCAGGTTCACTGACGGAAACAAGAATTTGAGTAAAAATGCTTTTAGACTCATTCAAGTGTCAAATTCAAAGTCCAGCGCCCAAATCCAGCACACCATGGCTTTTTATGTTGCTCAAATGTATTTGTACAGAACATTTCAGCAACAAGACAGTTTAAAGTGCTTTACATCATAAAAACACAAATATAAAATGTCATAAAAACATCATATAATCACCAACTGAAAAACAAGAAAGAAACACTGCATTGAGTTGAGTGCCATAATCATAATAATCAAAACACAACAAATAGTAAAGGAACCTGCTGTCTTTGGCGATGGCGTCGGACAGCGGGTGGCTCACTGGAGGAGGGGAAGACGTGGCGAGTCTGGGATCTTCAGCTGGGGAAACGCTGGTGGGTTTGGTGGTGGCAAACTCTAGAACGAACTGGAGCATGTCGGCCAGAGGGTACTTCATCGGTCCAGAGCCGTAGTTTTTATAACTTAGACCAGAAACAAAACACATTTACGTAAAGACTTATAATGATCTGTCGCTTTGGTGTTCAAATGTGTAGTTTCTCAGTTTGAAGGTTGCTTAATCTTTAGTTTTTATTCTTTTTTATCCTCCTTTTAATACTTGTTCTTCTCAGTTTCTTACCACTCAAGTTTCTGTTGAAGTGCAGCAAGTTGCTCCTTGAGCTTCTTCACTTCCCCTCTCCTCTCATTGGTCCGTTCTATGTTTTTGTGAAGATATCTGTGAAATAAAACATGCATCTCAGTTAATCAAAGTAGCATAAACAAGTTGTTTTATCTAATTTATTCAACTTATACATGCACCTTACAGAGTGATATATATGATTTGTTTATTATTTTCCCTTTTGCATTGCATTTTTAATATTCCTATTTACTGAGGTACATATTAAGATATTTCTGTAAGTTTTTATGAAATTAAATATGATTTTTGTATTACCTGTCCATGTAAACAATCTGTGGAAACTCTAATTTTTTGTGTATCTTCTCGGGGCGCCCGAGCTGAGTGTTGAACTCGAATCTAGAAAGTTCAAAGGTCAGGACCGGCGGTAGTTTTTTAAACCACCTCTGCGAGTCAGAAAAGACACAGAGATCCTTAGCAGGAAGACAGAAACTTACAGAATATTCAGTATTTAATATTTTGACTTATTTCGAGCCGCTCACCTCTCGACCAGACGTGACGCCGTGGTCCGAGTGCAGCGACTCGATCTCCTTCTCAACCATCGCCCCTTCCAGGCATTCGTCCAGGTTGCTGAAGCCGTTGACTTGCAGAGGGTACTGACCAAACTGCTCGATGTTGTACAGCGTCTTGCCTGAACCGAACCACACAGATTGGACTGAGACAGAACCCCGGTGGGTGACGGCAGCATGAAAAGTCGTAAAGCACTCACCTTCATGTCGCCTCTCCGTTACAAAGGTGCCATAGAAAAGCCGAACCATTGGGTTTTGCTGCTTGTCTTCCGCGTTCCTGAATATAAAGATGGATGTTATATTTTCACATTGATTCATAAAAAGTTAAATGTGACCTAATTTGCATCCTTTTAAAGACATTAAGATAGCTCTACGTGTTACATAAATCATCTTCGTTACATTTTTTTGCACAAAATCTTTCTCAGATAATGAGATTTCACCTCCTCAGTTCTGCCTGTATTGATCTTCTTTCAGAGTGACTTGCTTTACTAGCTCAGTGGGCGGAGCTTGTCCCCCCTAAGCCTGATTAAGATGCCAACGTCTCTTCTTATAGATGATGAGAGTGGAGCCATGGCTGAATTACATGTTTACATCCATCACGTTCATCATTTTTAATGATTTATGCTCTAAATTAACTTATTCACGTGAGATGATAGCAGCATTTCTTATTTAATGGAAACACAGGATTGCAAAGTGTGTTTTGTCATCATTAACACAATCTTGACAAAGTAATTGAAAAGCAGCTGCCAACAGCTTTAACTAATGACTTACTTTCCGTTGGCGGCCAGTTGAAAGGCATCTTCTAACCAGTCGAGCAGTTTGTGGGAAAATTCACTGACATCCTGAAAGTAGCAGACAAAGACATTTAACTGTCTGTATTTTCCATTTAAGCACTCAGAGGTGAACTTTGATTTGATATTTGCATCTAATTTTGACATTTATTTCTCAATCTGACAATGTGAGACTGTTCACGTGTCAGAGCTGCACAGTCATGCATTCCTGGCAGCAACAGGTCCATATGTCAGGGAAGCTAAAACGGTCTGCAGCTGATAATGAGGTGTTGCTGCACATTCTCTGCCCCGTGTGACTGGCCTATGAAACACTTGTTCAGGAACAAGTGGGTTGGATTCTTCAGGTATCCTGTTTCTAGGAAGAGCTGTGTTTTGTACCTGCTGAGCCTCGCTGGTCCGAAAGGCGTCACGCAGCAACTCCACCGCAGCAGAGGGATCCACAAACCTGCGAGTGGATCCCACCATGAGAGCAAACAGGCACCGCAGCTCCTGCATGAAAGCAATGTTCCTCTTGTCCTGTTGTCAGAAAGTCTCAGTCAAACATCAGCCTAAAAACTGTCACAATGTCTTAGAAATTTAGATCATTTCTCAGATCAGTTAATATATAAAAAACCCCAGTTGTGACGCACCACAGTACATCCAGGAACAAGTGGCCAGAGCAAAAACTGGGGAAAAAAGATAACTTCCAATTTGTGGGAAAATAAAGGTTCTTTTCCTGAATATACTAGTGAAAGAAAAGTTAGAATCTACACTTTCATAATCCTAAATAACTCAAGATGCCCTCAGGTAAACGTGTTCCTGGCTTTGCCATGGCCAGTTGAATTTTGTCTGCAGGAAGGAAATATGTAGCTGAAAGCTAACTACTCACAGCATGACTCTTACACTTCTCCAGAATTCGTTCTGACAGATGGTAGTTGAGAACCAGCCTCCTGAACACAGGTAAGTGGAAGAGTGACTGCAACAAGACGACAGAACAAGCAGTTTAGCAATGTTTTCACTTCTAACAGTCTGGTAGATTTGGTTAAATTGGGGACTAACACTGGAACATTTGTTACATTTTCAGTTGCTGCGGGTCGCTTTCTGACTGCACTGTGTCAAATAAACCAAACCAATTAAAAAAACTGTCCTCCTCCTCACCTGTGGTGGCGCTGCACCAAGAAGGCCACAATATAAAACCTCTGAAGAAGACAATGAGCACAACTTTCTTTCTCACAAAATGTAAAAAAAACCCATTGGAGTGGCATCAGATTGTAGCGGTTGTAGGATTTCGCTTTTTTCTCTTCTGAAAGACCATGAGTCATTTCTCCCGTAACCGCCAGACTCTTGTGTTTGTTTTGGTTGTATTTACGAAACACAAAATGCCCTGGCTGTAGACGGCAGGAATACCAAAAGCCTTCCTGCTTTTGAACCACATGGCATTCAGTATGCATTCAAACCGCACCAGAGTTCACTTCAATCGAACTGAGGCCGAGGTTTGTAGTTAGACCAGAGTTCACTTTTTTGAGTTTGACTACGCATTCATGTCTCCCCAAACCAACTGGACTTTCTTTGCAAATGGGCTAGAGTTGGATTAAAGGGGATTATACAGGACTGGTGTGAATGCACCCTAAGTCTACCTTAAACTTTGTGCCAGATGTGGATAATAGTGTAAGTTTTGTAAACTATGACTCTATTAACATAGGACGTTTTGTTTCATTGCTGATTATGTTTTGTGACAAATGTCAAAGAGTTTTACTTGTTTGTTACAGGATACCTGCGGTCAATACCATGATAACCTGGTGAGTGAAGAATTCTAAGCGTTCCCATTAGAGAGGGAAATTCAGTTATGGCTTATCTCAGGTTTACTGTAATTTATGAGCTGCCCATTGAATCCTGCAGTCACTCAGCTTCGATCTGAACCAGGGGAAATGGTGTTAACTCAGAAAATAGGAGAGCATTAGTATTCCAACAACACCTCCTCAGATAATACTGCCTGACGTCTAAATGGAGACAGAAGCATATCTCAGTTTAACAGACACAAACAATCCCCTTCTCCTGTCTCTGTCTGCTGTGGACGTCCTCGCATCGCTCCGCGCTCAATTAACCGCAGAGGCTGCGTACCTCAGAGAGGGTTCTGGTTTCTGTCGAGCCACCTGATAGGCCTGCGTGGCTTCAGTCTGGAATGGACTTATAACGCAATTAGCAGCTGAGATAAAAACTGTTTGCTCTGATTTAGCTGAAGGCTGCCTCCCTCCTCTCTCCGGTTTGTTTTTCAGGTCGATTTTTAACCTTATTAGCAGGAAATAATGATGAGGAGGAAATCTGAGCAACATCCCCTTGCAGCCACGTCATCAACGCTGGTTTCACATTGGACACGACCTCGCTAAACAGCAGCAATAAGTTGAAGGATCAAGGAGACACATAAATTTGGCAAGAAGCAGAAGCAGAAATGTAAAACCTTGTTTGACTATTTGAGCAACTATAGCTACATTTATTCCGCTCCCTGCTAAAACAAATGTACGATGTTGGTGTGTGTTGTGTTTCCATTCAAAAAAGTGACAATCAAAAACAAACAGGAATCATTTTGGTCATTTAGCTTCGGAAGAGGAAAGAAATTGAGGTTTGATTTTTAATTTTTCAAACCTATATTTTTTACATAAAAATGTCAGTTTCAAACTAAGCACATAATTAGCAAAAAGCCGGTAGCGTTTAGTTAGTAAGTAAGCTAAATATTTAGCTCTAAAATAAATATTCACTAAAAATTTCACTACTGGAAGGGCACTATCAAAACAAAAGCTGGACCTTGCAAAGTAGACTCCTGCCGGGGTGTCTGTGCAACGGTGAACATCTGTATTCCCATCAAAATAATTTATCTTATAAAAAAATGTATAAATATCACTTCAAGCCAAATATTTAATTAGTGAGCTAAATGTTTAGTTTACAAAAGAAATATCCCAAGATACACAGATCATCTTAATGAAAGCATAAATGATAGAATGCCTTAGTTTCATGTGTTTTAAAGGAAGTGGAAGCATTTTTCCCACATTTTAAATGAAATTATAAGATTGGTTCATGCCTCTGCAATAAAAACATTTTATTAAAGGCTTTTTGTGCGTTTTTACCAGATATTTCTGAGGCTGATGTATTTATTAATGCTTTTTGTTTTGATTTTTTATTTAACTTTTTATGTGCAAATCTTTGTCGAATTTATTGTGGAAAGTAGTTTGAACCTATTGACGTGAATGGGGACTAATTTTCTTTCAGTTTTTGTTTTTAAATAAATAAATAAAATTGTATATTGTGTTTTTTTTTCTACAGAATTTCTGCAAAGCTGAGCCGTTAAGTTGAATAGTTGTGCAGAGCTACTTTGCCACATAGAATACAGACGCCCAGTGGAAGCTTCTGCACACTACAAGCTTCTGGTTTACAGAAATTATACAGACATAATGCGAGGTGTTCACTCTCACCTGGATGACAGCACTGAACCAGCAGGTGTTTCCTACGTTGCGGATGCCGACGGGCCAGTCGTCCCGACGGATCCAGTCTGCAGGGCTGCACATCTCACTCTGAGCTTCACATCTCTTCCTCTTTATTCGCGCTGCATTTTCTTCAGCGCTAGCTTCCAGAGCTCTGTGAGACATCAAAATATCTTTCTGAAAACATGAGACTGACGGCTACATTAAATACTGTCAGGTTATAAAATACTTTTAACAGAGAAGAGATTGCTAAACATTAGTATTTTTAAAGATTGTATCTACAGAGGACAAATCCAGCCAAAGTTGTCAATAAATAAATGTACAAGACTAGGACATTAGAGTACTGCATATTGTGATCAGTGATGTCAGTAACATGTCACTTTGTAACGCGGACTACTTTGACATCGGTACTTCTTTCAGTACCGAGTAATCTAAAGCTTTACTATTTCAAATGCAGTAATCACATTATAGTTCGTTATCAAAATCACTGTTCATTACTATTTTCTTTTGTAATGTCATTTTATTTCCTCTATGAGAGACCGTCGTTTCTATGCAACAGTTGTCAGCAGCAACAGAAACGTAAACAATGGAGGGAGATTATTGTTATGTGATCATAATTATGTGACCTTAACATAGAAGTAAACACACGTTTAATGGTGGCTTGCATATTTTTTTTTTTTACAAAACATTATTTTGTAAAAATAAACCGTAGACTTTTTTATTTTTACTGTTGGCATTAAATATTGGAACGTACACAATGTTGATTTCTCTTTCTTTCTTTTTTTCTTAAAACAAGTACCAGTAAATTCGAAACATGTTGTATTTTATAGTCCTAATCAAAAGAAAAACCCCAAAAGAAATGAAAGAAGAAGTGTAACGCTGGAAAAAATGGAGTAATTAATTAAACCTACCTGTTGAACTCACGCTCTTCTTGCTCTGCATTGTGGGATTCCTGCAGGCTGAGTTCAATGGCTGTCTGCAGTTCATCTTTAGGAAGTCCTAGAAAAACCAAGATACATCAGACGCATTTATAGGTGTCTCATGTTTGTTTAGTATTGAAACCAATTTTACAAGCATTTACTTAAATGTATCTTATTAAGGACTCTATTTTTTACACTATCCCTGCAAAATGTGGCGCCTCACACGATCATGCTTCTTTTTCAAATGATGTCTTTTATTATGATTTTATATGACAATTCAACACAAAACAATACATCATTTTAAAGCTAAAGAAAAATAATACACGACATCTGAAAAGTGTGGCATTTCTGAGCAGTTTGCAATTTATGAGTTTATAATTGTTGTGATTATCAACTCTGTTGAAATGAGAGCTTATGGGTCAATTCTTCACTTTACAAAAATAAGAAGTAACTTCATAAATATCATGCTTACAGAGTTCAATCTTTTTTAAGTTGATATATTCCTTATAGAGTTTCAGTTACTATAACAAGATCTTCCTTCATTCTGACCTTCCGATGCTGTTACAAATTAAAACATGCACAATGGTACATCTAAATGTCTTCTAGTCAGATATTGCCATGGTGCACCTCTCTGTTTGTCCCAGGTCTCTGCAGACGTGGCGGACTCCTGTGGCTCTGCAGAGTCCTGAACTTCCACAGTCTGGGTGGTCAGTAGTCCCACAGCGTGTCCGACGTCCCCCTGGCTGGCCTGAAGGGGAGAGAAAGAGAAAACCTTCCCAGAAAAAGACTTACTAAAGAAGATTGAATCTTGAATCCTTTGGATGTGTACACTGATCAGATCTGGAGTTTGAACTAGACAAAGCCCAAGACGTACCCTGCTCACTGCTGCTGAGTGTGTGTGTGTGTGTGTGTGTGTGTGTGTGTGTGTGTGTGTGTGTGTGTGTGTGTGTGTGTGTGTGTGTGTGTGTGTGTTACCTTCAGGGCTTTGTAGAGAACCTGCTGGTCCTGGATGCCAGTGATTTCCTTCAGCTGCTCCATCAGCATTTTGAGCTGTTCACAGAAAACAAGTTGAGTTCTTTCCTGCACCACTTGAGCACAAGTCCAGAAACACTCTGAGGAATCCCTGGACCTGACCACAAACCACATCTCACACAGTATTTGAATAGTAAATAAAGAAATGAGATATTATATTTGTTTACATGTTGACACAATACCATCCCTTGTGTGCTAATCCTGAAGGATTTAAAGATCAGATTTGAGCAGCTAAAAACTATTCCTTTGTCACACACTGGAGTGAAAAAAGCAGCTGAAGTTTAGAAAAAAGTACCTCAAAAAGTCTAAAAATAATTTTTACGACTTAGAAAATACAACTGGGAAGAGAAAGGAAGTTGAAACCAAATGCTTACATCCACCATATCAAAATATGCAATCACATATTTCCTTTTCCTCCCATTATTATACTTTTAATCAGACCTTATTTAAAATTTAGGTCTGGTTTTCTTTTATCGTTTTCTTCAAATTAATCTTCTGATCAATATGCCTTTAAACTGTTTTGGAAAGCCCAAAAAGATTTATGAGATTCTGATAGGTTAATTCACAACATCTTAGTTAAATGGAAATAAAGATGCGGAGGCTGAAAGGCCTCTCAGAGAGGGAGAAGCCATTACTACTGAAGCAACATAAAAACCCAGACCACAGTTTGCAAACAAAGTCTTATTGTCTGATGGAAGAACAATTGAAAATTTTGGCAATAATGACCTTCATTACACTTGGAAAAAGAACAAAGAACCCATGAAATCTTCATGCAGACAGACCAAACCAGGATTCAAACCAAGGCAAGGCACCATTGTTACCAACTGTACCACTGCACAAAGCAAACCGAGTAACTTATCAGGCAGTCCTGATAAATTCAGTATTTCACACCTGTTTTATTTTGTTCATAAAGTTTTGAAACTGGCTTCCAGTCTAGTCTCCAAACCTTTGCAAACACAAGCCATAATGCAGGAACCTAAGAGATGCACTCCATTTAAAAATAAATCACCTAATTCTGCACAGTGAGAGGCACTAAATAAAGCTGGCTGTCCCAGGAGCAGGTGCTCATGTCATTGTATCGCTCTTTCTCTCTCTCTCTGTATCTCTCTCTCTCTGTATCTCTCTCTCTCTCTCTCTCTCTCTCTCTCTCTCTCTCTCTCTCTCTCTCTCTCTCTCTCTCTCTCTCTAACACAGAGAGTTTGGACCAGGCTGACCAGACTTATATGGAGCCCAGGGGGCAATCTGAGACCCACTTGGTTTGCCTCTATTTTAGGGTACTGACATGGATAGCAGAAGCTTCTGTTTATCATTCTGCTCACCATGCCACCAGGCACCAGGGTGCCTCTTTTATCCTCCCAGACACACACCACCAACAACCAAACACCAGTCGTGCAAGTAAACCTTTTTGTTGTTGTTGGGTTTCTTTTTTAACCACATCTTAAGCAAAACATGTTAAACTATCCCTAGGCTGCATACAAACACCATACAAGCAGACTGCTTCATGCACTGAGCAGGAATAACTACAATGATCTGTTTATTACTGCATTGACAGTAATGGACGACGGTTGAACCAGATTTAAACGTAACTCTCTGAAAATGATTGTAATTTAATGATGGGGGGGGGGGAAGCCACCAGATCTCACCAGTTCACACATTGAACTGAACATTTAAAAAAACAGAGATGATGAAAAATTTAACCTAAGTGCCTGTAGGTATACATGTTTAACACAAGCAAGATGAGAACATTTTAGTGTTTCTATTTTTTTTAGTAAATTAAAAAAAAGAAAGTTAAATTTGCTGAATAAAGGCTGAGTGGAGTTAGACGTGTTGACGTTAGTAGACGTTAATAAAGTCTCCATCATTTTCTCACCGAGTTCGTTGAGTTTTCTCCATTTTCACTTTGTTCAGCTCTCATTGCAGATTAAAGAAAATAATAAAAATCTCGATTTATTCACGTCTTTTCCCCTCCAGAAAGTGCTCGCGACAGACTCTTTCTCTCTCGTTCAAATCGACTCCATCTGTCACGCGCCGAGAGCGAGCAGCCAGCTGCGCTGCGCCGCGTGCGCTTTCTTTAGACGGCGCGCGAGGAAGCGCGCGCGCACCGACAACCCAGTAACCCTGGCTATCAGCAGCGAGGCCCGTTCACATACCGGCTTCTCTTATTATGAAAGTATGTTTCTCTGTTTCTCCTTCGTTGTCGAATCGGCAGATATGGACACACAAAATAACAGTCAAACAAACAAACAAACAAACAAACAAACAAACAAGCAAACATCCTGGAATTCAGTTCAAATCGTCCAGTAACAGTGACATGAACGAGTCACCATTATGACCCGATGAGCCATTCTGATCTCAGGTCAGACAAAAGAAAAGAAAAATAATGTCACTTAACTTCTTGGAAAAAGACATCATAGATAAATATCTACATTTGTTGTAATTTTAAAGAACCTCCACTCTACCTCTGTTTTTAGGTTTTAAAATAAAAATGAACAGCATTTTGCAAAAAGAAGTTAGAAAGCTTTTTCCTTGGGACAGAAAGAAGCAGATTACAACTTAGTAACAAGAAAAATAGATATAAAAGCATATTAGTGCTACTCTCAGTGTCATTCTTTATGGAATTTCAATGTAAACATTGCAGGGAAAAAAAGAGTAAAATCTACAGTTGTTATTATACCAATATTTACAAATGGTGAGCTGGTTCTTTTATTTTTTAACCAAATTATTAGGAACTATTGTTCCTTGATAAATTGCTAAAACGTGACTAATTAGTTGAACAATTCGACTTATTCTGTTTTGTGTGAAATCTCTTTATCACAATATTTCCCAGCACTATTATGAAACTCCTCCTTTGTTATTATGTGTTGTATTCATTTGCAGATGTGTTAAAAAAGAACATCTGCACAAGCACCTTCCTAAATGACCCTGTTAGTTTCTATGGCACTTGAACCGGCACTGCAGAACCTGTTTTTCTTTTTTCCCTCTTCTGCACGCTCCACTATCATTCATATCATCTTACCAGCCTGTGGGAAATCAATACCAAACCAAAATGTCTGCACAACACCGCATATTGTTCCTGAACGCCTCTCAGTTCACATACAGCTGACCGTTTCTGTGGATATTTCTGCTGTTAACAAAGTGAACTTTTGGATGGCTGGTTCTGGCATCATGATTCTGGTTTGGATCGTATTGTTTTTATCAGGTGAGACCATTTTACAATTTGTATGTATGACGCCGTAGTTTCTGCACAGAAATGTAAGTTAAAAAACGTTTTCTTCATGTTGTAACTTCAATCGGTTACCTGGTGTTTCAAGTCATAAATATAAATATCAAAGTAATATAAATATTTCTTTTGAGCTGCTGTGCTTTTTCACTGCAGTTTAATGAGAGTGACTGATTAGTATTTCAATGAAGCATAAAAAATTTAAAGCATAACCAAGAGTAGTCTATATTTTACTTCATTTTAATTTACCTAAAGCTACAGAAGCAAGGCATTTTACCTACCAATGCAGTTAAAGGTTTAGCACTCCAATGTAGATTGGAGGGTTTGTTAGTTACTCCATGAATAAAGTTTGCAACAATATAACAGCTGTAGTTCTGAACATGAGTAAAGGCTGAGACATCTTTCTTCTATGAAGTCTTTTTTTTCAAAATTCAAAGTAATTGACCACATGTACCATTATAACAGGTCCATATTTATTGTAGCTATCGGTATGTATTTTTGTTTTATAGTTAATCTGGCTGAATGTGTGCCAGAGAAGCCAAAGAGATCCACTCTGAACCAGCTGACCCGAACCCTGCTGAGGAAATATGACTGTGGAGTTCGACCTGTCCACAACTGGACCAGTTCTACTACGGTCTACATAGACCTCATACTGCAGTCTGTCCTCGATGTGGTATGTCACTTCAACAGGTTTAGTTTATGTTGCTCTCTGAATTATTGTGGCCTGCAGGTTTGGGACAAATATTCTTTGTGTACTGCAAAATCACCTCTAAGTTCAGCGACAGTATGACAGTATAACCAACTAGTTAGCATTAACTTTACTTTTCAGCAGACCGATATTACTAGAAACCAAAAATAACTTCTGGTTATTCAAAAGGAATTATTTGAGTAAACAGCAGGTAACCATTCATGTTCGGAAATTAATTTGCAGATTTCTGTTACACTTGTGTTAAATTCACCAAAAGGTTCAGTAAAATCAAACTACAGGTACAGAAAATAGCCTGTAAATTTCATAGCGCAATAGATTTCATTAAATCTTCATGAGTGTTTCACAAAGCATTCTGTTGATTCTCTTACAGTCGTCTTGATGTTTTGCTGAAGTAACCTTGAAGCTCAGAAATCATAACCCCAAGTTATAGAAAGTTATTTTTTTAGAAAGCAACTCTTGGACACAATTTCACAACTTCAGTAAAAGTGACATGAAATGAAATCTAACCAACCATCATAGTACTTCAGTTGTTAAATTTTTTTTATCATGTCAAACTCTAACTTAATTTATTGTCTATAATGACAGCCACTGAGCGTTTTTTGTTTGTTTGTTTCCCAGGATGGAAAGACCCAGAGCATCACGACAAGCATTTGGTACAGACAGGTAGATGTTCTCTTAACCGTTTAACTTGTTTCTCATTGTTAGTGTTAGAAAGGTTTTGCCACTCTTTAACAGAAATCTGCTGTTTTCAGATCTGGAGGGATGAGTTCCTCGTTTGGGACCCGGAGGACTTCGATGGCATCACTGAGCTCTCTCTCTCTTCTGACGCCATCTGGGTGCCTGACATCATCGTCACCGAATTGTAAGAGGAATTTTCTTGTTGTTCATCTCTCCTCCTCATCCTAAGTAATTGTATCATTTTTCTTACATAATAATAATGCTAAATTTATGTAAAAAAAAAAAGACTTAAACATTACTCTAGCAATGGTGCAAATTAGGACAGACTGTCTGTAGCAAATCCGGAACTTATTTGGAGTTTTTTTAGTGAACAGAGCAAAAATAAAAGATAAATGTGTTAGTAGATGTTTTGAGACGATGCAGAGATATTGCCAACAACCTTAAGTTCTTTGGTTAAATCTAAATATACAAGTATATTTATTGTATTTAAAGATACAAGAAAGAATATAAAATAGTTCCTCTTCTCAAATTTTAACAAGGCCAAAAGTGACACATGTCATGGTCTCATTAAGTTAGTAAACATTTACAAAGATTATAATTTGAATAAAACTACAAATACAGTCGTAGAGTAAAAAGATTTTTTTTCATGTATCTAGTTTTTTTATTTCATTCAAGCATATATATATATATATATATATATATATATATATATATATATATATATATAGTCATAAATATATGACTATGACTTGAATGTATTTTTGTTTTATAGTTAATCTGGCTGAATGTGTGCCAGATACTAATACAAACCCCATTATTATTAATGCTAGTTTTATGCAATATTCCAAGTTTGTAGTTTATTTTTATTGAAATTTTTTAAGGTGTCAAATTTTGATAACATATTTTTGATATTATGTGTTTAGTAAAATGTCAACATATGTAATGCATCTTTTTATTTCTCAAATCCAGTTACTATTTTTGTATTCAAATATAATAACACTCCTGAGTGACTGAAGTTACTCAGCAGCGTTTATTATGCAATGATAATGTTTTTACTTTCAGAAATGAAATAGAAGAGCAAATTCTCTTTCTATTGATGACAATAGAAAGACAGTGTGCAGGTAACTCTGAGGGTCAATCAGTATTAGAATCACAGACCAAGTCTGAACCTTAAACTAAAACTGAACGTGACGTGGATAATTAACCAGCACAATTCTTCTGTTTCTTGTGTTTTTGTCAGCGTGGAAGAGGGAAAGTCTCCTCCCATCCCCTACGTTTACGTCAACTCATCTGGTTCTGTGAGGAACTATCGGCCGATCCAGGCGGTGCTGGCGTGCAGCTTGGAGATGTACGCCTTTCCTTTTGACAAGCAGAACTGCAGCCTCACCTTTCGCAGCTGGCTTCACTCAGGTTCGCCTCCAACCTCTGCTCCTGTAGCTAACAGATGGGACATAACATCTGGAAGATGAAAGACACTTACAAGATAGAGTAATTTTAATTAGCAAAAGGAGGAAAAATCATGGACTTTTTGATGTATCTGAAAAGTGTGGCATGCATTGGTTTTTACTCAAATTTAGTGTTAGAGAAGAACAGAGATGACCCAGTAGACAGGAAGTCGTTCGACAAAAAAAAAAACATGATGCTTACACATGTGAAATATCAACTGTGTGCCATGTGTTTTCGAAAGCGGTTCCACATGTTAAAGTGATGTAAAAACACACATGAAAATGCAACGTACAACGAGACATTAAAGTATTTCCATTTTTAAAAAATCTTCCTATGGAGTTAAAAACGGGTCTTATATGTTATTATATGATATGATTTTCACATATTATAGTACAACATCATCAACCACATATTCCAACTCGATTAAATCATTTTGTCTAATTCCACAAGCCCGTTGGTGCAGTCTGCAACAAAACGAAGAACACAGTAGAGAAAATAAATTTTCCCTGCCTCCTGCTGTTGGGTTTCCATCTTGCCGTCTCTAGTTTTATTCTCCCTTCTGTTTTATCTCTCTCGGCAGTGAAAGAAATCGACCTGGCTCTGTGGAGGAGCGCAGAGGCCATAGCGGGCGATAAGAGGGAGTTCATGAATGATGGCGAATGGGAACTGCTGTCCGTTCCATCCCAGTACTGGCATATCCGCCAAGACGACGCCGACTATGCTCAGATCCAGTTCAACGTACGTTGGACGCACACATTCTCACCCTGAGAAGTCCGTTTTTATGAAAGAAATTGTAAAGGAGGACAATAAAATGGTTCACATAAAAAAAGAAATCTTATTTAATCTTAAGTTAATGGTTATTGCATATGGACGGAGTAAATGCAGTGTGAGGACTGATGGCTCGTCGTAAACTGCGGCCCTTTAAAACCGTGTAGCAAAGTGTAAAAGCGTGAAGCACTTGGCTGCGACCTTCACGGATTGAGCCACGGAGTTAATTCCAAACGATGAAACGGCAGCGGCGGCTTCTGGCGAGCAAAGAGACGGATGGAGAGAGGAGCTGATAGACAGGGCAGGGTGAGCAACCATAATGAGACTGTCTCAGTGGCTGCCTGATCAATGGACCTCTTGTTAGTCAAGAGCAAAATGGCTCCATAGCCCAATGCAGGTGGAGAGCAGGGAGGGCGGCTGTTTATTCAGCTCAAAGAACGAAGGCTTCTCAGTAATGGAGCATTTCATGGCTCACTGTGTTATTGTACGGCTGGTGGCAGCTCGCTCCCTGTGCCACATGAAAGATACAGTGCTGGGAAGAAATGGGCCTTCTTACAAATTTAACCTGTTTTTATTTTTTTTGACACAGTTGAATGTTTCAGATCATACGCTCAAAGCATTAGATTGGCCCTTTCTTATAAATAGGGTCAAAATCATTGTTTTTATTTATTTACTTTTTTATATATTTGACTCCAGGAACTTCATGCTGCAACATTTCAATCAAATTTAGATCTGGCCTTTGATTCAGCAACTCAACGGTTTTTTTCACTCATTCAAAGGTCGTCTTAATTATTTTGAATCGTAGTCCTGCTAAGAAAAGCAAGTGAGGCAGAGCTCAAAGCTGCAGTATACATCTTTAAAAATATGTTTTTTATACCTTTGTTAAAATTGTCACCATGTTGCGACAGTATAACATGAGAGAGGTAGTCTGTGAAAAGATCAATCTCCTCCCAGTCAATAACCACCAATCAGAGCCAGGAGGAGGTTCTTAGTGCTGTCAGTCATGCTCATGTACATGCTAACCTCTCTAACATCAACACATTAAAAAAAAATTGAATAAAAAAAATCAGAGAAGATTAGAATTCTAAATCTAATCATTACAACTATAAAACATTTGCACACATTGTCCTTAAAATGCCAACTATTCTTTGTGCAGTGTGAATTTTTTAATCTTCTTTCAAGCAGAAAATCACTTTTACTTTGGCTTACTTGATCTCTGACTGGTTTGCAGGAAGCAACCAACCGTCATATGTGCGATTTTAATTTAAACTTGCTGCTCCTTTTGGTTTGTCAGCCAGAGATGTGCTTTGATGTTACAGCTTGTTTTGGTAAATCACGGGAAAATTGTGTGTTTCTCTAGTACTGAAAGTGTCACATGTGACTGTGGAGGAGTTGAGGAACACATCCAGTATAAATAATGCTTTCTTGTCTAACCAGCTCCTAACCCTGTGCACTTATATTTTGTGCAGCTGCTGATCCGCCGGCGCCCCCTGCTGTACGTGGTCGGCCTCCTCATTCCCAGCATCTTCCTCATGCTGGTGGATGTGGTGAGCTTCTACCTGCCTATGGACAGCGGAACGAGAATCGCCTTTAAGATCAGCATTCTGCTGGGTTACACCGTCTTCAGAGTCAACCTGACAGACGAACTGCCTGCCACGGCTCTCAGGACTCCTCTCATTGGTACGGCGGCTCCTCATGTTAAGAAAGACATTTTCTTTTCCACATCAATGGATTTCAACAAAGTTTAAATCCATTTTAAACTCACAAAAACAATATGAATCTTGTGACCCTAACACAGTTTAAGACCAGAAACTGATGTGGGATCATTTGAGTTTCCTAAGAAGGAAAAATGGGGAATTGCTTTTCAAAGTCATATTTTTTTAATGTTATTTGTTAATTTAGAAATGCCACAGGTTAAAGATTTAGCTACAATCTAAAAAGCCTGCTAAATCTCTGAGTTAAAGCTACTATCTAGATAAATATTTAGCATCAAAGTAAATATTTTGCTTACAAACCAGCTCTGAGCTAAATATTTTGCTAATATTCAAATTCACTTGCCAACAACCAGAAGTGGACTACCAAAATAAAAGCTCTGTCTCGTGATACAGAACTAACGTTCAGTTCATTTGCTAAATATTTAGGCTTGAGCTTGCTGGCTAAATGTTAGCTCAATTAAATATTTAGTTTGAAACTGACACTTATTACTGACGGACAAACATGGTGAAAACAACTTTTTCCTCTTATGACGGACTAAATAACCCACATTGTTGCTGTTCATTTTTGACTGTGACTTTGCAAATGACACTATTAATGTAACCATTGGTGTAAGATGTTGAAGGAAAAATGTAAGCAAAATTATCTGTTTCAAACTAAGAAGCTTTTGTTTTGAGAAATTGCCCTGTCCTAGTACCAGAACAGCACAGATTGGTGCTACCTTTCAGCTTAGTTCTCAGGTAAGGTCACTGTATGGATGAAAAGGGAAAATTGCCTGAATTGTTCTGGCAAACCAGAAAACACTTTTCTCTGCCTCTTTGGTATAATTGATCCGCGGAGTGAAATAACAGGGAGCCGATCGGATCCGATCTCCTTCCAGGTGTGTTCTTCGTGGTGTGCATGGCCATGCTGATGCTCAGTCTCATCAAGTCCATATTGGTGGTGAAGCTGCTCCATCACAGCGAGAAAGAGGTCAAGCAAATGTCACTGTCTGCCTGCCTGCTGGACCGGTACGGCTCAGGCGGCCGCAGCCTCAGCGAGAGCGCTTTGACCTCCATCAAAACCCTGGACAACATCTATGCGCCTGGAGGTACGCAATAAGCTTTAAAACCGATCACCTGTCAGCGGGACAGCAGAGATATCTGACACCTTTCTGTCTTCACTCAACAAATAACAATAAAGTCGACAAACACTGCAGACAAACACCCCAGAAGTCCACCCTCGCAAGAGGCTTCTGCCATTTTCAACGTGTGTTTTGCTTCCCTGCGTGTGTTTGCAGTAAATAACAGGGAGGAGGATTAGAGCTACTGAAACACATGTGAAAATACAGACTGTTTTTCTCAGAATATGAACTTTAAACTGAGAAATCTTACTATAATCTCAAAATTCTGACTTTTTTCCTCAAAATTCTGATTTTATTTCATCTCACAAAATTAACATCAGAATTCTGAGAAAAAGTCAGAAATCTGGGATCAATCTTTCGTTTTTTTCTAATGGCCTTGATCTTCTTCCATAGAACCTGCTCATTAAACCTCATTCTTACCTTTCCACAGATTATGAGCTTGAAAGCTCCCTGGAGGAAGACCTGCTGTCCCTGAACGACGTCCCAGATCCTCCCTCTAGCCTGGAGTGGCTTCTCCAGGAACTGGTTTTCCTTCGGATGGCTTTTTCCCAGGAGGACAGCGAGTCTTCAGCTCAGGCCGAATGGCTGTCGCTCTGCCTGCGGCTCGACCGCTTGCTGTTTCGCCTTTACCTCCTGGTTTTAGCCGTGTACACCAGTACGCTGCTGCTGCTGTGGGCCAGATGGAGCTTCACTTGAGCCAGCAGCACATTGAATACGATCACTCCTTAAATAAGATTACTTAGTGGTTGGGTTCAACAACACTGATTGGGAAACTCATCACCAAGTCATAGATTTTATAAACAATTATCTAAAAGTTGTACTTTTCTTTTTTTTTTCTAAAAAGATGATTGTGTTTTGAACTTCCTTTTATTGCAAAAGTAATTGAACAAGAGCTCTTAGATGCTCTCATTGACTCCTACAAATTTGTCTCCTAAATCATATTTTTTTTAATATCAATTTTCAATTGACTTGTTTTGCATGACTTGCAGGACAATCTGCAGTCTTAGTCCCTGGATTCAAGTTCTGACTTTGACACTAAGAAGCTGGGGAGGCATATTTTTGATTTAGAAATATTTATTTTACAATATCAAACTTTCAATTCTCATTGGTTATTCTTAATGCATGGAGAAGCTGCTCCATTACAGCGAGAAAGAACAAGGTTCTGCTATTGATCTTTTTTAGTTTGTGTCTTATTTGTTTCCCTTATCTTTCATGAGCATCACCAGGAAATGTAAGAAGCTTTTTTTTGTGGTGAGTCAAACATTCATTAGGCATCTGTAGGTGATTTAAAACACCATTATATGTATTTTTTGCGTGAGCATTTGGCACAATTTAATAGTTTGACTCCAATATGTTTATTTTTTGTGTATTTTCATGTCATTTGCATAGAAATTTGTGAACCACTTTGAAGTGTGTCATTAATAAAGGCAGCATGTTATTTTTTACTATCTGAGATCTCTCCAATCACTGGTACGCTGATGATATTCAGCTATTTGCTACTACTGTACATTTTGAACCCTAAAGTACTGTAAAGCTTTTCATAAGGCCATAAAATTCTGGTTGTCGGAGGTAAATGAAAACAAAATGGAGGCTCTTATTTGGTCGCCACCGAAGACTTATGTCTAAAAGAAAATATCAATAAAGCATGAGTTACGCTCTCATGACAACAAGCATGAATGTCTGGGCCTCAATTTCAAAAATTATGAAACAAAAATATCACAGATAGTCATTGTGATCACAGAAAAACATCTTGGTGGCAGCATCATAATATGAGGTTACCTTTCCTCAGGTGGATTTTGAGGTTTTTTTTTTGTCATCACAGATGCAAACATAAATAGTTAGAAATCCTAGAGAGCAGAAAATTGAACAAGGATTTAATTTTCAGTCTACAGATGGATGCGGAAACATCACGTTAATGATGTGATAGCAAAGACAGAAACTGAAATTCAACTCAAGCTTTAGTTTAAGTTTGTTTCTTACAATTTTCCTCCAGATTTATTTTACAGTTAAAGTGAACAGGACATATTTCAGAATAAAAGTTGAAAAAATATTTTAAGCATTTTCTTGGTCTTAGTTTTTTAAAATCAACTTAAAATTCAGATTTTTGTAACCAGGGTGTGGCAAACTCTGACTAGGTTTCTATCAGCATTATGCCAATGAAAACAAACTATTTTATTATTTTCATCTTAATCTGACATATTTGCTCCCTGTGTCTTCAAGCTCACTTTACTTCAAACCAAATGAGTTCATTAAAAACGAGTCACATTAAACTCTCTTCTGCTTGTTGTTATTGTTCCTGGTCTGTCATTATGTTTCCGGACATCAGAGATTCACTCAGAGATACAGCCCAACACAAAATCTCTCTGGAGACAATCCCTCACCGTCCGTGTGCTGTTACCATATCATTTTCATACTTTAATCTCCATCCGTCCGCCACAAAACAGATCAGTAGAAACCATTAATATCTCAGCTGCTGCAGCTCTGCTCCCCGTTGGTTTTCTAACAGCCGTGAAAAGAATATTAAAAGTGCTTTTACAGGAAAGCAGATGCTTGAACAATCCATGGTAATGCAATTCTGGAGATATTGGCAGTGGATCAGGTGACTTTGTGTTATACAATAAAGAACTAGGAATTTATAGCTGCTTTATACTGATTACTGTCTTATCTCCAGTAATAAGAGAGTAGAAATTATATTCTATGAATTTGCATTGCTTTAAATATAAATCACAAGGTTTTTTTTATGTTTTGCCTTCTATAAGACAAAAAAGACATTCTGCAACTGCAAGTCCTGCTGTGCAACAATACTGCAACTTCCATCTGCTGCAACGCCCCAGTCAAATGACTGCTGAGTGAACAGGCCTTGGCAAAACTTGCTGACAACCCAAAGAGATAATTCAGCTTTTTGGTTCAGGTGTTTGGGAGCGGAGATGCATCCAAAAGTTGCAGGCGGCCTCAGAAAGCTGGAGGAAAGATGAGAGAAAAAAAGCGAAACACAAAATCCTTATCTCAATTTTTTTTTTAAATAAAGATTTTATTACAATTTTTGTTTTCAGTTATTCGTTTTTTTTTTCAAAGAAAAAAGTAAGTTATAATAATTTATTTAAATCTCTGATCAAGCTACAAACTGCTGCACCGAGCAAGAGATAGTAAACGATTCTGAAATGGAAACGACAAAAGGAACCAGCTCTGCTGCAAAAAAACCATGAGAACTGTGGGAATAAAATAACATTTTAACAAAATATTACATACATTCTGAGTGAAAAGTTTATTTTTTGGTAATAAATTCATAATACGTTATCTGATTAAATATTCTGCCAGAGTTCCTGCTCATTTAAAAATCAGATGGTCTCCGGTATAATTTATGCTAAATGTATGCAAAAATGACTGAACAGTGAATAAAAAAACGATCTAAAACTTGATGTTTATTGACATGTTTTGTAGCATTGTCTGTGGGTTTACAGAGGGGGTCCCCAGCCACAGGTTAATACTCTTTGGGGGGAAAGTTTGGGAAGCCCTGTGCTAAATAATTTAAAGTATCAAAAACTGAGCTTTAATTTTATTCATCCTATGGGAAATATTTAGTAGTTTGCCAAAAATATCTTTGGAGCAGAAAAAAATGAGAATTTTACTTTTCAATGTCATAAATCATCTGGAGTAAAAAGTAACTTAATTGTGCAGCAGATGAAGTGGAATCCTGCCTAAAAGCCTCTAATTGATATTCATGTCATTCAGCTCCAGCTGTAATTTCTCAGACACGATGTATGATCTTCAGATGGACTTTCTGCTGCTGCTTTACAGAGCGGAGAGGAGAGGAGGGGCTCCACATGGATACGCCCTCCGCATCCCACTGACACTAACAGGGTTTCATAGTGGAAGTGGGTGAAGTGATGCGTGAAGCTGATGGATATGGACGATAAGGGAGTCGGGCGTCCTGAGGTCTTGCATCAGAACGACAGGAGAACCGTCACAGAAGCAGAGACCCGGGTCAGTTCACAACATGAGGCTGTCATCGGGCTGGACGACGCTTCTTTACCTGCTGCTCCATGGAGCTGCTACTGTCTGCACAGGTACACTACACTTTACTTTACTACACCAGAAAAACTGAAATAAAAAAACCTAAGATTAAAGCACCAGATTCAGTCTGACTCGTACTGTCAGCAGAATGTTCAGGTCATTTTTCTAATTGTTAAAAATTAATTAATTTCTGAAAATGCTCAGACTAGTGTAGTTCTGTCAAAATTATTGCTCAACAAAGTTTGATTTGCCAAAAATGTTGACAAAAATGACAAATTTAAATCAGTACAAATGATTACTATAAATTGCCATTTATTATTTCATTGTAAATAAATAATAAGAATGTTACAAGGTGGGTATTTTGTTTTGCAAATATTTACCAATATAGTTTAAGTTACTCAAATGAAACGTTAGAAAACATTGACTGCTACTCATTTTGCTGGGGTTTAAATTTTACCTTAAAGCAACAAAAGAGAAAATCTGTAACTCATAAAATGTTAAACAAATGTTTGTAAGATCTCCACAAGTGTGTTCAACATGTTAGATGTAAGTAAAAGATATTGAGAAGTTTTAGCTGAACTTTCATATAGTTTTTTTTTAACTTGTGTTTTAATTTTACTGAAAGTAATTAAAAGTACAAGCAGTTAACTTGACCTTACTTCCTGTAAGTGGTGCGTTAAGATTTTTCAGCCTATTTTCTGATTTTGTTAAGTTTTAATTGACAGTTTTTCTGCTTTCACAGGTCTGCCTTTAGAAGGTTTTTGGGCTGCAAAATTAAGTGAAGCTCCACATTTTTTTTGATAATAACTGATTACATTTAACAAGGAGAACATCCAGTCAAATAAGTAACATAATTTAAAAACCATTTGCTATGGTTATGTTTAGCAAATATGAACATTACTTTCAGGATCTGAAACATGCAAGTGTGGCAAAAAGACTGAAGAAATATTTAGGGAGTTATTAAATTTTTTATTGTAACAGAATTAGTAAGGCTTTAATGTTTTCTATTCATATGCTATTAACAGAATTACATTAAATCACCTTTTTACTGTTTGGATACTTTTAAAACAACAAGTGAATGTTAGCAGAATAAAATGCCCTTTGTTGATTTTGGTGTGAAGTACCACTGAGTTAATTATGTGGAAAAAAAATAAGCAGTGAAAGCATCAATGTTTTCTTTGTGTTGAGGCTGCTGACATAAAATCCACTCTGAGAGTCTCTAACAACCCCAGAGACCCACACATACAAAGAAATCAACACAAATTAGTCCATAAATTAGGTGAAATAAAGTGAAATGTCAGCGAGAGAAAAGCATTGAGCTGAAATGTGTTCAGCACTCAGCGGCTTTCGTTGGTAATAACAGAATCAAAATGTTTCCTGAACGGAGAAGCTTTATTACTCGGGTGACCAGTTCTTCCACTCAAACTTTCATTAAATCTTGAAGGTTTTCTGCATTTGTCTTACTGAAAAAAATATCCGGTTTTGTTATTAGATTCTTATGATTCTTATACATTCCTCAGCTCCTCCATCCTTCGGTTATATGAGATCTGCCTCTGCCATGATGTTTCCACCTTCAAACTTCACCTTTATTTTGGTTTTTGAGGGTTAGGTGGAGTGAAATTTCCCTTCAGCACATCGTGTGAACAAACATATCCAAAAAGTAGAGATTCGGTCTTGTTTTAATGTTCTGCCACAAACTTTAAGGAAGCTTTAGCATGCTTTTTTTTTCAGCAGTGGAGTCTAGTGCAGTTAATGCCGACATCAGCCGTGGTGATTGAGTGAATCTCTTACTGTTTTCATGGAACAACTGGATCTGCTAAAGGATAAATAGACACATTATTCCTTTGTCAGATTCCTTGAGAACAGTAGCTGGTGGTGGTGGCCGGTTTATGGTGAGATTATGTTCTCTGCACATACAGATTATGCCCTCAGTGGTGCTCAATGGTACATTTAAATGGCTAAAGATATGTCTGTACTTAATGGCATCATTATGTTTAGTTTATTGTGCTAAATATTGGCAAAAAGAAATCTTTTTTAATGTGTAAAACAGCCGAGTCTTTTTTCCTCAGTGATAGAAAAGAAGCAGATTTCAGAAATTTGTCATTCTTAGCTTTATTTTTTTGTATATTTAGTGCATGAATTCCACTTTATAACACAAACATAATTTGTGGACAAAGTTTTTATGATTTCTGCTCGTCATGAATGATGATACAAATTACATGAATGTAATTTATTTCTGTCTGTTCTAATGTGAAGAGCATTTTTCCTTCCTGTTGATCCACATGCAAACGTGAATAATTTTCCGTTTTTCAGTTAAAAAGCCGCCCAGTAGCCCTGGAAGGTTTGCCAATGCCACCTTGGTGCGGCTGGCTGACTTCCTGAGCGCTGGGTATAAGAAAGGAGTGAGACCTGTGAAGGACTGGAGGACGTCCACTATCGTGGCCATAGACCTCATGGTTTACTCCATCCTCAATGTGGTGAGTTCTGCTCACAGTTTGGTGGTTCAGGAATGTCTCTGGACAGATCAACGTCTTACTGAAGCATGTGACAGTAAGACTCTGGTGTGTTTCTGTATCTTAATACAGGACGAGAAGAACCAGGTTTTGACGACGTATGTGTGGTACAGGCAGGTAAGAGCACTGACTCTTAAGTTGGGGCTGAGTTAGGGCTGGACAATATGGCTGAATAACATACCACATTGTAAGCATTTCATATCAGTGGATAGTGACAATTATTGTTAATTTGTTTTTCTGTTATAAATATTTGAAATCTTGCCAAACTGGTGACCTTTTCACTCTGCGCTGTTGTTTCTTATTTTTGAAACATTATGAGACAAGGCAGCAATGCAGGTGCTGCTCAACTGATTGTTGCTAGGTAACCAAAGAGTGAGTAAGTTCCTTTGCCTACATCCCCCAGAATGCTGTGCGATTCTGGGGGATGGGGGACATTCTTTGTTTTAAGCACTATAAAATGTGGTGTGCTATTAGAATCTGACCATTACAGCGTTGAATCTTTCAGTCGTGGACGGATGAGTTCCTGGTGTGGAACCCAGAGGATTTCGATGAAGTCAAGCAAGTCTCCCTGCCCACAGCTAACGTCTGGGTTCCTGACATTCTCATCAATGAGTTGTAAGAGATTTCCTTCACATCAGCCCTTCCACTGCTCTGAATGTGATCATACAGACATGGTTTGCATTTGTTGTATGTCACCGGCAGCGTCGATGTGGGGAAGTCTCCAGATATTCCTTACGTCTACGTTACACATGAGGGTCTGGTGCAGAACTACAAGCCCATCCAGGTCGTCACTGCCTGCACACTCAACATCTACAACTTCCCGTTTGACGTCCAGAAATGCAGCCTCACCTTCCAGAGCTGGCTCCACACCAGTAAACCGGCATTTATTCACAGAGAAAATACAAAACGTTAATTGCTTGGCTGAGATCTAAAAGCCTTCAGTCATAACAATGACAGTGCTCTACAAACCCAGACTGGCCTCTCTGCAAAGTTCTTGTCTTTTTGCTTTGCTTTTCTTTTCTTGCATAAATATTTCAGATCATCAAACTAAGTTCAGCATCAAAGATACCCTGAGTAAATATAAAATGGAGTTTTAAAACGATTTCTATGGAGGCTGAGAGGTGCCAATGTGATGCGCCGCAAACACACAAATGACGCAAACTCCAAAACACACACAGACATCAAATGCAACAGAATAACTGTTGCATTAATCTAATAGAGAACAATGCTACAATCTCACAACATATATTCAATGCAAAAAAAACAAAAAATTTTTTGGGTATAACTTCTAATGTAAATATTTTAGTATACTTAAAATAAAATAATACTAACAAGTAACTTTTCCGTAAGATATATTAACATATTAAGTGAATAATTCCTTGCTATGAATAAATATGGTTATCCTAAACTTATAACAAGACATTTTTCAAGTTTTTAAGAGGAACTAGTACATTTTCACCAATATTAATATTAATCAAATCAATAATAAGTTATTGATTTGAAACAAACTCCTACATCTTGCTGAAAAGTTACTTGTGAGTTCTATCTGATTTCAAGTGTATCAAGATGTTTGCACTACAAGTAGACCAAAAAATAATTGGTAGGATTTTGTGTTTTTGCAGTGTTCTGTTTACTGAGAAACTGTATCTGTTTTCTTTTGTTTGTTCTTTTTCTTTTTTTTTTTTTTTGGTTTAAAATTTAAATCTTAGAGCTTTTAAAAGACAAAAAAAAAAAAAAAAAAAACAGAAAATGACAGATTTCACCTCCACAGCAGCACACTGCAGAAGTGTTTTGTTTGGTGCCTCCTGCTGCGGTTTAGGCTCACAGAGCGGAGTGGGTGAAAGAGAGCTGACTTGTCAGGCCTGCTTCGTGCCGCTCCAAACATTGTGTTTGATCTGCAGTCGATGACATCAACATCACCCTGATGCGAAGCCCCGAGAAGCTCCGGGACGACAAGAGCGTCTTCATGAACCAGGGAGAGTGGGAGCTGCTGCACATTCTGTCCAATTACAAGATCTTCAGCGTGGACAATGACGACTACTACGCAGAGATGAAGTTCCATGTGAGTGTGCAAGGAAAGCTACAGAGATTAAATATTAAATGTTTCTCAGCGGATTGGAAACACCAAACAGGTCATAATCTTTTTGACGTTTGCTTGTTTTACGTTTTTTATTCCACATTCTGATTCATTTGGATGAATCACTTGTTCTCAGGTCACACATTCAAACCGTAAATTAGTCACAAATTAAAGCTGAACTAGTTTAAATAGGCTTCTTATTCAGCCTAACATGCTGCTGTTTTCCCCAGGTGGTGATCCGACGGCGGCCGCTGTTTTACACGGTGAACCTGCTGCTGCCCAGCGTCTTCCTGATGGTGATGGACATCGTTGGTTTCTTTCTGCCACCAGACAGCGGAGAGAGAGTTTCCTTTAAGATCACTTTGCTGCTCGGCTACTCGGTCTTCCTCATCATCGTATCTGACACCCTGCCTGCCACGGCCATCGGAACGCCACTGATAGGTGACTGGGGTTCCCGAAGTCTCAAAGGAGTTTCCTTTTAAACAAAAGACTGTTTCATTATCTCTAAAGAAATGCAACATCATTCTGAGTTTTTTTGTGTCTGAACAGTACATATCCAAAACTAATTTACTCAAGCAGACAGTATTGTAATGCAGCATATTGAATTATTTATATTGAATTGTTCTGTCTCATTTCAAATCATATCAGATTGTCTCGGGTCAAATATTTCAATATGGCCGTGCATCACATCAAACCTAATCAAAATCATGTTATGCTATTATATTATTTTATGCTGTCAAATTATTGCAAATCATATATCATGGAAAACAATTTTATTTTGCGCTGTGAAATATTCTGTTGTGTTAAATTGTCCCGTAATATACTTCAGTACATCAAACCAAAAAGCATCAAATTATGTATTATTGTTGATTTTTACTGTATCATATTGAATTTGGACAACAACCACATATCAAACCCAATAGGAAAATAATGAATGCTTGCAACTTTTTACTGTGCGACAAACTCGTGGTTAAAATGGTTCCAAATTGTGTTATTTTATATCATCTCACCTAACTTGGTAATGTATCTTATCACATTATATTGTATTATTTCATTTCATATTTTATGTTCACATCACAGTCCTGTGTTTACAGTAACCTTTGAATTTGACCAACATTATTGTCAGAATATTAGAAGTTCAGGAGAAGCAAAGAGTAGAGGTCTTTCATTTCACATCATATCGAAACCAAGTTGCATTGCACTGTCTCTCCAAAACCTTCAATCTTTGTGCTCTTACCTGGTCCTGCAGGTGTGTACTTCGTGGTCTGCATGGCTCTCCTGGTGATCAGCCTAACAGAAACCGTACTGATTGTTCGTCTGGTCCACAAGCAGGATCTGCAGCCTCCCGTCCCCCACTGGGTGAAGTACCTGGTCCTGGAAAGAGCTCCGGTTCTCTTCTGCATCCACAAAAAGCACCGCTTCTGTGCGAGGCTGTCGTCTCAGGCTTCAGAGCTGGACCGCTCCAAGGACAACAACTACGGGACGGGTAAGGTATCGATGGTTATCAACTCTCCTATAAAAATTTAAATCAGTTTTATTTTATTTCGCCTTATTTTGCCTTTCATTCACTCAATAACAAATATGAGTAGTTTATGTAACACCTAAAAGAAATAACTAATGAATCAGAGGGGAAAGAAGCATAAACTTGTAATATTCTTCCCAATTTACATTAAAAAAATTAGATAAGCTCAGAGACAACAGTGACGTATATGGGCCAATATAAATAGAATAAATTTTCACCAAAACATATCAGAAATTGTATAAATGAATAAAATAAAATTTCTGAGTTTGAAAGGTAAAACATTTGCTAGAAAAAACTCAAAAATTTGACATTAACTTCAGAAATTATCTTGAAGAAACTTGAAAATGTTCAAAGTTTCATACACTTAAAAATGTCAGTTTTTTTTCTGGAAAATTTCTGAGATCTCAACATTTTTGAATTCTTTTCTAGCAAATGTTCACTTTTCAAACTCGATTTTTCAGGTTCAAATTTTTTCAAAAATAATATAAAAAATCAGAGGGTTTCTGTCGATTCTAAATGTTGTATGTGTTTACACTGTCTTTTCCTTTAGTCAGTCACATTATCTAAAACAGAATTTTTAGATTGTTTGGATAGAAAAATTGGTTTCTGAATTAAAAATAATTTCTGAATAAATTTTTTTTTCAAATTGTGACTTTTGACTTTGAAACTGAAACATTAGACATTGAAAGATTTGCATCTCTATTTCAAGTTCCACCCCACACTTCCACGCAATATGTCACATCTAGCAAAATAAGATCCAATCTTTGAGCTGCTTCAATTTTGTCTTCCTAACCAATCGCTTTCTTCATAGATGTAAGAGGCTAAATAACAAGATTACACCTTTGTCTCTCTGCAGCGCAGTGCTCCCTCCACCACACCTGTGAGATAGGCCAGAGGGTCAGCCAGCAAGACAGAGAGGGTGGAATGCTTGGACTTCGCCTGGCCCCGTCCAGGGACAACACTCCGCCCGTCATGGACAACATCCTCCAAGAGGTGACGGCCATTCGGCAGTTCCTGGAGAAGAGGGACCGGTGTCGGGAAATCGCCAAGGAGTGGCTCCAGGTTGGCTACGTGCTGGACGTGCTGCTCTTCAGAGTCTACCTTGTGGCCGTGATCGCCTACAGCATCACACTGGGCACTCTGTGGTCAGTCTGGCAGGTGGCCTGAGTTTCGCTCCGCCAGTCAGCGTAGGTCAATCACAAATAAGTATATCAAATGTAAGTGGCTGAAGCTCATCGGATAAAGGAGGCATTCATGAAGAGAGACATAACTCCTCTAGATGAGGCCACCATGTAAATTCAGGGGACGAGACACTAAAATGTCCTCGTAAACATTATAATTTAGGCCTAATCTAGTAGTTTGAAGGCATATGACTCAAAAGTAACAAGAGAGGCTTCATCAGGCGGAGCACAAAAGCTTTCTGAGACGATCCAAAGGCACCTAGGCATTTTGTCCCAAACTGTTTTAGGTGGAGTTAATACTCATCATTACAGGGGATAAAACAGGGATATTAGTGAAGCCAAAGCTAAGTTTTATCCCAGACATCTACTGAGTTGAAGAAAGTAGGAAATGAAAAACAATAATCTATAGATTAGAAGCGACAATAAACTTGGTTACCAATTGAGAAAATATATAATACAAATCTATGAATATATAAATGGACACTATATTGCTACACAATTAATGAATTAATATATGTGAATTGGTGACTAAGTCTTTAGGACTGGTTTTTGCATTTAGATTTTCTGAACCTGAAACTTAGGAAGTGTGAAGTGGGTCAGTTTTTGGAGAGCCACACATTGATGCTGTTGACACAAAGTTTATTATCTCTCCACATGAAACATAAAACAAACAAACAAAAAAACTGACAGCTTTAACATTACTTGCAGATTTAAAGCAGTTTAAGATTTAAAAAAGAGCTCAGCTCAACTTAGAGATTTTTCAGTAGACAAATGTAAATAAATGAAATGATGTAAACAGACAAAGAGTGTGTGTTATATTAAAATATTTAATCTGTTTGTTGCTTATTACTACAGGCTACAACTGTTTCTGGTTATCTCTGTTCTGTCTGTCCTCCAGAGTGGCGGACAGGAAGTTACAAATACCCAATAAACTGGCATTTATATGGCTAGAGTTAGCTAGTTTCTGCACATCAGCTAAATTTAGATTATGATAGAATATAAACTGATGTTAGCTCGCTAACCTTGGCTGATCTTGTAATCTGACCTAACTCTTAGAACGCCAAAACCTGACTTTTACATTCTCATCTGAGGTTAATGTACATTTTGCATTGACTGATGCTGGAAAATACAACTTTTTTTTTATTCAGTGCAACATTGTGCACATACATTTTTGTTGTGTTTTTGTGCCAACAGAAAATAATGCGGTGTGTAAAGATCTGAAAAAACAAAAAACAAAAAGAACAAAAAACTGTAAACATTTCTACTATGTTGTAAAATATATGTTCAGTTTTCAAGACATATTAAAAGGACAAATTGAAATCATTTTATTCCTCCCCAATTGTCTTTATGTAACTGTGTGCACTATTTAAGAAAAGATACATCAACAACAACAAAAAAAGAAACAATTGAATTTTCAGGTTATTGAGGGTGTAAATGAATAGTTTTGACACAAAATAAACAATTAATCAGAAAAACGTACTACTGAAGTTTTAACTGTATTATTTACCATATTTCTTTTCCTTCCAACCATTTTTATTTAATAGCAACTCTAATAAAATTCCGTTATTTCTCCATATATATTATTTATACTAGTTTTACTGGTTCCCAGATTATCTGTATGTAATTTTACCAGCAGCCTGAAGTTCACACAGTGACCACATGATGGCAGCATGTACAACAACATCCCCCTCCTTCAACAGCACCCACCCAATTGTGCTCCCTATTTTTCAATCTAAAGAACTTGAATATTGTTCCTCTGATTAAAAGGAGAAAATGTCAGAAATGTAAAGGCGTTAGAGATTTATTGCACTAAGTGAATAAAACAATGTGAAATATGTTGAAAGTGATCAAATCATAGAAACAAGAGGAAGAGTGTTTAGACATGTGGGTCAGAGATCAGACCTGAAAACTCCCTCCTTAACAAGCCTAACAAACCATTCACCAACCCCTTCCTTCCTAATGCCCCAAAATAAGATCAAAGTGACACCAAAGCAACAGGTCCGACAGAACCATTCACAATGACTTTTCCCTCCTTATTTCCTGTTTTTGTTTTTCGTCAAAATCCTGAAAGAGAGGCCTCATTAGTTTCCAATATGCTGTTGCCCAGATCTGATTGCGAGTGCGTCACATGGAGGAAATGAGTAAATATTGGAGCGACATTAGAACACAGTGGAGACACTTTGATGTGACACGGTTTTCATATGTAAAATAAATCGGCATCCGCACAGATTTGCCTGAATATTTCATATTAGTGATCTGTGCTTGCTTCTTTTCAATGGCAGAGAGGAAATATTACCAGAACACGCGTCCTGCTGCAACACCCAAGTACAGAAAATTGTTCATGGATTTATTTGAAAGAATTAGAAGTAGTTGGTCTTCTTTTCTGGACGAACAGTTCATGATGCGATCCTAGAACTCCATCAGTGAAGTGTTCACTTCAGTAAATGTGGTAAAAACCCCCCCCAAAAAAACAAGCTATTAAAAGTGTTGAAAATTATACCTTAAACTCTCTCCCGAAATAAAAAACAAACAAAACCTCCCCCCCACACCTTTTTTATGAACTCAAAACTTATAAAAGTTTCTTTCTTCCCTCTGAAATGCTTCAAGATGTTGCGCCGCCTTCACGGGACTGGAATATGGGTCAAGGTCGGCTGTGACTGCATTGCTATAAAAAGGTCTTCTATTCAAAACTTTATCTGCAAATTTGCGAGCAGTTCTTTGAAATATCTCATTCATAAAGCTCAATGTATGTGACTTTTATAAAAAAATATATATTGAAAGCAATATATATTTTGTTGATACATTTGTTGAAACTGTCACAGAGTCATGACAGTACGAGGCAGATAATCTGTGAAAGAAACAAATCAAGCTCCTCTGTTTTCTCCTAGTGTTAACTGGAAACAACCAATCAGAGCCAGGAGGCGGGTCTTAGCGCTGTCAATCATCGTTGTGTACTTTAATGGTGTTCCAAACAGCAGAGACTGTTGTGAATGCCCAGGCTTGTCAGGATGGCCTCCAGTGACAGATGAATAAGTGAATAAAACTATGAATAATAGGTTGTATGAATGACATGATGGGTCGATTTATGAAGATTGATGAAGGGATAGTTGACTAAATGATGTCCGGACTGATGAATGGATGGACAAACTGATGACGGACAGGAAGACAGATGGACATATGTAATTAAATAAGACGAATGTCTTTTATACATTTCTGGTGTGATGTGAACGATGAAGAAAAACAGACATTTTTCACACTATTTTACATTTTGTTAATTCTGCAAACTTTGAAAATTTGGATCAACTTCAAAATAGTTGGAAGAATCAATTTTTTTATTATTATTTGTATGGTATTACATACATCATGAGCTTTGATTTGAACTGCATTGCTATAAATCCCATTAGTAAGTTGCTTTGGATAAAAGCAGAAACAGCAAAAATTATTGATGAATAACTAAATATGGAGATAATTAACTGTTCCAAGATAAACCAGCACTAATATTTGATCACATGAATCAGGTTGTTATTTTTTAAATGATAAGCATTTTCAGCTCAAACTGAGATAACCCAGGGGTGTGTCTGGAGGTGGCACACCCCTGTGATATGATTGGCTGAGGCCAACCCTGCCTCCATGCACTGGGTTCTGCTTCCATGAGCAGCTGCTGAACGGCCAGATTGTTTTCAGAGCCTCATGTGTCGTCGCTGCTCTTCCCTTGGGTTTTATGGTGCTTCAGGAAGAAGGAGCAGGGTATAATTTTCAATGTTTGAAACAATATTCTGAATGCTGTTATATCTGAGAGCCATCAAAATAAAATATGGGAATATTCCGTATTTTCTCACATCAAAACTGAACAGTTTAATGCAATGTTTTCTAAGCAGGATGGATGGAAAACATCTGAATATCAATCTGGACTTTGGACTGCTCTAATACATATATTGGGCTTCATCAAGACCTGCATGAAAGAAGCTTTTTCTAGTCTCCAACAAGCCAACTTAAATAAGTAATGAACTTAGATTTATTTTTTACTTCACAATTATTCTGTACTTTGTGATGGTCTTTTACATAATAAAATTCACCAAAGTTTGCTATGCTGAGACAAAATTACAAAAAATATTTATCCCCGTTTAGTGTTCAGTTCACCTGGAAACAGGTCTTTGAATGATTTTATTTGAGGTGTTGGAGTTGGACAAACTGCTGCTGCATTAAAAGTAAAAAAAAAAAAGAAAACGTTTATGAGAACAGTGAAAGAAGAAATGTCATGGGGATTAACTTCAAAGCATCTTCCATGCATGCATAATTAATACAGATGTATGTGTTTTTGCATACTGTATTGTTGCTACAATTTTCCTATATGCTTTGAGAAAACTACTAGAATAATACATGTATATATATTTATTTTTAATTCTGGTGTCACGCAAATAATTGTTAATGGTCTTAAATTTTAGCACACATACAAAGTGTGCCATTGTATCTTCACAGACTTTGCATTGACTTGCATCCATCTTTGATTCATTTCTATAGCCGGACCCTGAATCAGGGGTGTCCAAATTTTTTGACACGAGTCAAAATCCGATTATTGTAATAATTTTAAAAACTAAAATTACTGAGTAATATTGTGATTTATTTCAATGTAAAAGTAAATCACAATACATTAAAACTTTACTTACTCAATAAGCTAAGCATGCTGAAGCTTCAATAAGTTTTCAGATTTTTATAGGGAGTGGATGCGTATTCAAATTAGAAAGGGTTTAGAGTGTTTGCTTCATAAGAAAAAAAAAAACATACAAAAAACCCCCAAAATAACATTTAGCCCATTAAACTCATATAAACCAAGATTTAAGTCAGTTTTTTTCCCCTTAAAGTTTAATATATTCATTCATTCATTAAAATATAATCTGGGAGCACCAGAATCTGCTGGTCATTAAAAGTCACTGCATAGTTGGGGTGAACATAACATAACTGCAGATTTGGTGAAACAAATCTACATTAGTTTTTAATTGCAGTCAAATGATTTGTCTTGGGGCCACACATGGTCCCTGTGCCACACTTCAGACACCCTTACCCTAATGGGGCCCAGACTTTGGGCCCCACAAGGAGCAGTGGGGCCTCAGTGCAAGTACTTGTTGGAAAACTACACCTCACAAAGTGAAAAATGCTAACACACACACACATGCACACGCAGACAGAAAATAAGTGTTTTTTTTCTGTTAAAAGTGTTTTAAGGAGTAAATATAGAGCCAGATGATGAGACAACATGAAGTCCATTTTTTATTTCGTTTTCTAACTGCAGATTCAAAGTATACAACGCAACATCATGATTTGATTTTTATTATGAGACCCATAAATAAAAATACAATTAAAAACCCACTTCAATCAACAATCTACTGTTAGTAGGATTTGAAAAAAGATTCTTTTTTTAATATATATTTTTTTCTATCAAAAGGCACAACATTGAATTTATTGACAACATGGAGAAGAGAACCTGCAGCATTAAATCTTTTCATTTTCCTTTTTATTTTTTTTTTCCAACACTCCATCAGAGAACACTGAAATGTTACAAAGATGTGTCTGAATCTACATGGAGAAACAAAAAAGGAAAAAACAACCTCTATATCAACAGACGGTGGCTATAGATTGGTGCCACGGCTTAAACAGGAAACGTACTGCCACGGGAAACAAAACAGAAACCAACCGAGAAATTAAAATAAAAATAGCACGTTGTCGCCGGAAAAGACAAAGGACCTTCGCAAAGCTCTAATCCAAAATTTCAAAAACATTTTTTTTTTCCATTTTATTTTTGTACAAGTGACAACAATACAAGAACAACAGCAACAACAACAACAACAACAAAAAAAAGAAAATAAAAAGTAATAATTGGGCACCTTCTAAGATTAGGCTAAGATTAGGTGCTGAGGTAGACAAAAACTAAAACAATTCAAATCATAATAGAAACACTATTTTCTTAAAACAGAGCAACTCGACTGGCACTTGTGCTGCAACAACAATGGAGGAGAGAAGTAGCACAGACAAAGCCAGGGAAAGACAGGGAAAAAAGCTTTGTTACAATACAAAAAACAACAACAGGAAAATAAAAAAAGCTTCGTCACGCTTGGTCCGACGGGGCAATTGGTCCTCAGTGCTAATATAAAAAATACAATGTCTTGGTGCTTTGTTACTCAAACAGTTTTAGTCTAGACCTCAATGGCACATGCACTGCAACACTGCATGAAAATGGCTACTTTGTTCTAGAAAAACACCACACCAAAAACACAGAGTGCCAGCTTCCAGGGATGCCATGATTCCTCTCGGACCAAATTTTACAT